TTGACGAGGATCAGCTTTCCTGAGATATTGTAACGTCGCCAAAAAGGACCACTCCATTCGACAGCCACAGCAACCGCAAAGCTTGCGGACCTGAAACACAAAACGCAACATGAGTAGGTTCCGGGCCCGGACCTCGTTTCTTCTTCATCACAACAAGAGACCAGGGGGTTAGACGGCCGAGGGAACAACACAAACACAGTATGAGTGAATACCGGATCCGGATCTCGTCACCCTTTCATTGTAACGACACGAGACCGGGAGGGTTTGACGGACGAGGGAGCGGGTCAGTACACTAGCGACTGGATGAGTCGTGTTGGGCACGCCGTGAACTGCGCGCGGGCCCAGCCGACGGATGGACCGGTTTGCCGGCGATCTTTTTTTTAAAAACCGCTGTTCGGGTGTCGGCAACCAGACCAGATAAAGACGAGAAATGAGCTGCAAAGTGCAGGGGATGCACAGTCCGCAAACCAACCGCCCGCGCCCGTCCCTGTCCGGTCAGTAGGTTCGCCGGTAGTGGGCCAGAGAGCCGATAATGCTTCCATACAAAAGGCTCTAGAAGGCAGCCTAGTGGCCGAAACCAAGGGATAATAGGGCGTGGAATTGCACGGGTGATATGTAGGCTTCGTATCGGTCTTAGCCCTTGGGGCCCATTTCCCAACCAGGAACAAGGCCGGAGCCAGCGATGGGCATTGATCGGGGTCGCTGAAACAATGAGTGGACCCCGGGGAAGGCAGGGGCGTACAGCGCCTAACCGGGTGCTCTGTGTCGGCAAGTGACCCCGAGTCGGCTGGGAGCCGTATTGGAAAGAGTCCCTGGTTGCTAAAGTTCAAGGGCCCGGTTGGAATGCTGCAGGGACCGAAGGGCCAAAGGGCTGGTTGTAGGTCACATTAAGGACCCCGTCCGTAAGGCGGTGACCTCAAATGTCAGGCAGACCCAAAGGTCTCAAATACGAGACTCAGTGCCCAGATCGGTGAAAAGAGCCGTCATACTGGCATTAAAGGGCACGAACCTGCGGGCCGGGCCCCTGAATGCGAACTCCGAGGCCTTTGGGCCCCCAAGGCGGACCTCATTCGTCGATCCTGAGGGGCTCCTCTGACCCTCAGGGTCGAAGGGGTGGGGTTGGGCTAGGGGTACGTGCTCCCTGTTCCCTTCTTGCCTTTACCACTGCTTACATCACTGGCCTCACCACAACCCACCCCACAGCTCCCCCTCGTGCCCCACACATTTCCCACGCAGCCCGCTGTCCCGTTGCGCTGCTCCGCTGGGCGGCCTTCGCGGTCAGTCGTCGCCCCCGCACCCCTCTCCTGAGGCGGGGGCGCCCGCTGGGCGGGGGATCCAGTCTGCACTCAGCCGTCAGTGATCGCTGACCCGTCTCACGGAGCCGTCCAGATGCATACTGCGGAGGTGAGGCGCTGACTGGTCCGTCCTCTCGGCGGGGAGGGGGGCGGGGTTAAGTAAGGCGAGGCACTGTCTGATCTGGCTCTGGAGGGAGGGAGGTAAGCAAGGTGAGGCACTGACTGATCTGTTTTCGCTCGGGGGAGCAAAAACAGTAGGGGAGGAGATAAGGCTTCATTACGTAAGACATCGGCTCTGTGCGTCTAGCGAGAGCTGCCACTGGTTATGCTTATTTACCTATGCCATCTTTCTGAACACTCGCGGTTATGTAAGGCATTGGCTACGTACGTTTGACGGGATCTGTCTCTGCTCGAAACGTTCGGATTATATGAGGCACTGCTCCCATCGATACGTCTGATGAGATGTACCCCGCGCCACATCTCCGCATGCAGGCCATTGACTCCGTACGTCTGATGAGATGTACCCCGCGCGGCGTCTCCGCATGCAGGCCATTGACTCCGTACGTCTGATGAGATATACCCCGCGCGGCGTCTCCGCATGCAAGCCATTGACTCCGTACATCTGATGAGATGTACCCCGTGCGGTGTCACCGCATGCAGGCCATTGACTCCGTACGTCTGATGAGATGTACTTTCCACGGCGTCTCCGCATGCAGGCCATTGACTCCGTACGTCTGATGAGATGTACTTTCCACGGCGTCTCCGCATGCAGGCCATTGACTCCGTACGTCTGATGAGATGTAACCCGCGCGGCATCTCCGCATGCAGGCCATTGACTCCGTACGTCTGATGAGATGTACTTCGCGCGGCGTCTCCGCATGCAGGCCGCTGACTCCGTACGTCTGATGAGATGTACTTCGCGCGTCGTCTCCGCATGCAGGCCATGACTCCGTACGTCTGATGGAGATGTACCCGCGCGGCGTCTCCGCATGGAGGCCATTGACTCCGTACGTCTGATGAGATGTGCTTTGCGCGGCGTTTCCGCACGCAGGCCATTGACTCCGCACGTCTGATGAGATGTACTTTGCGCGTCGTCTCCGCATGCAGGCCATTGACTCCGTACGTCTGATGAGATGTACCCGCGCGGTGTCTCCGCATGCGGGCTATGGATTCCGTACGTCCGAGGAGATCTGCCTCTACTCAAAACGTCGCCGTGATGTGAACCACTGGCCCCTGCCAGATGCCGGGATCTGACTCTGCTCGACACGTCTCTGTGGCGTGAGACATTGGCCCGATGGTCCCGCTACCAGAGATCCAGTAGACATCCCGTGTGTCTGGCGGGATCTACCTGGCGTTCAGGCGTCCCTGCCATGTGAGGCTTACGGCCCGTCATCCTGAAGAGATCGCCAGCACACGAGGGGCCTTTATGGTGCGGATTAGCATGAAGCGCGTTACATTAAGCACGTGGCATTAGCCACGGTAGCATCTGAATCAATTGGGTGCTTCTTATGGGCATGAACCCTCTCCGCCCGGTACGACCAAATCATAATTACCCAGCAACTTACGATCTTTTGAGATCATTGGATACGGTAAATCTTGCTCCAAGCCCTTAGGCACGCTATGAGCAAGTAGTTATTTACATTTAATTTGTGCTTGATTAGTAATATCCCTTATGCGGTGTCTTAACCCTCGTGCTACGTGGGGGCTCAGAACTCCTCCCTAAAGTTTTGCGAAATTATTGTAAGCCTCTAACCGCGACGTTTCATGGCTTTGACCTTTTTAAAGGTCATGCTGGTTAATTTTTCGCAAAACTGGCAAATGATGCTTATTTTTCCCAGGAGAAACACTTCAAAAATAGTTAATAGCTGTTGAAGCTTTTAGAATGTTAGCTAATCTGCCTCGTTGGGTTAAAGTTGGACTTTTGAACACATTTGGTCGTATGAAAGTTAGTAGGTTATCACTTTTTGAAAGAAGGTATCTGCAGCCTTCCAACGATGTTTTCTACATTGATGCGGCTTGTTTAATTCTTGATATAACCGGACGGACCACCGCAATGATCGCCTTCACCCAGCTGACACGATATGGTATGTCACATATCACATGTGTCGATGTACACTAGTACCCATGTGACAGTTTTCCAACATCTATTTAACGCCGTCTTCCTCACTGTCGTAGCATGCTAAGTTCTTGGGGTAGCAGGAGTAGTACAGGACTGCTATTTAATCGATATGACCTGACTTGACCTGGCAAAGGTCGCATTTACTATTGATCAGTCAAATGCTTCTGATGCGGCTCAACGAGACTTTCTCTATGTCACTTCTCCGTGCTCTAACTTGCTTAGTTATCTATATCTTATTTAGTCTTTGGGGTCTCTCTTGGGACGAAGTAATAACTCTCGCCGGAAGAGGGCTGCCTTCGGCGCATTTTACGTTAAGTCCCAAACAGCAGTCACGCTGACCTCCATACATCGGTGTTATTATGACTGATGAGGGCGTACCTCCAGTTTGTGTATGCAGGGCGTGGATCCAGGCGCTACTCGCTATCTATGTATCCGTACACTCCAGCGCGAAGCTGTCGATGTGCTGCGATTGCTTCCAAGCAGCGTAGTTCTACGAGCTGGAGCTCGCTGAGTCCAGTCGGATTATCTAACGAGCGGTCCGTGGTTGGGTTTTCCCCGCTTCCCTCCATACCACACACCAGTCTACCAAGACTGATTTCGATGCAACGGGCTTCGCGGTCTCGCGCGCGTAAGTCATGTCATTCCACGTCTTGTCGAAAAAACTGGTCCCTATTGGCTGCCGGGTCCGCTCGGTCGACCCTGGCGGACACGCATCGCACTCACGCCACTTGCCAGCGCTGGCAAAAAGCGGCCGGCGACGGCCGGTTGGCGGCCGAGGCCTCTTCGGGACCTGGAGGTATGCTGTGGAGTGCTGATGAGAGGATGATCGAGGGGGGCAGCCCGTCACGGCGCGCGACCGCAAACGGTGCTCCTCGCTTGCGACAGTCCGGCAGAGCGCGGGCCGCGGAGCGGCGCTGGCGAGTGGGAGATCGCTTCCAGACCTGACCGCCGAGCCCTTTTGTCAGGAGCCGCCGTGACGAGGGCGTGCGATGATCTATGATAGCCTGCCCTCGCTGCAAACACGGAGTCACGCCGACTGCGGGACGGGGTTGGGGAGAAAGGAAAGGCGCCCGTGCGGCCTCAAACGACCATAGCCGCTGGCACTCAGCCACTGCGTCGGCATCGACATCTTCCGCTCAAGATTGTTCGCAGACGACCTCAGCCGAGCTTCCCGTCACACGCGCTCTTCCTCCCACGAAGACGGCGAGAAGGCTGGCGGCCGGAAATCCGGAGATGCGCCGTAAAAAGTGGTCGCTCTTCCAGAAGGCGGCCACGGCGTAAGCGGAGCGTGTCGGCGATAGCGGGTTGCGTCACAAGGCTACTGCATGGCTGAGGGAGCAGCGCTTACAGCGGGTGGACGCTCAGTTTGTGATGAGTCCCGCGATTTCAAGGTGACGTAAGGCGGGGATTACGTGGCACCGAGCGCGGTCACGGAGCCGGCGGTCGCCTGCCGAGGTCGGCATGAGGCGCGGGGCACCACATGGAGGAAGTTCACTTCCATTCGGGGCTCTGAGCCCGGCTTCAGACGCGATGGCATACAGTCTTCAGGTGATGCTGAGGCTGAGATGTGCCGCGTCGCGCACGCAACGGTTTTGTTTGAGCTGTGTCTGTCAGGCACAGACAGCGCCGTGTCCAGCGCAGAATGTGGCGCGCACCTGGCCCGAATGCATTCGGAGGGTTGCACTGATCCACTGGGCGTGCTATGACCCCACCGCCTTTTTGACCCGCACACAGTGAACGTTAACGCATTCTTCACATTTCACGTTGCCATTTTGCAACACATATGAGCGAGAGATGCGTTGCTTTATAAGCCGGCATTGACCGGGCTCATCCAGCAGCACGCCATTGACCGGAGGGGGCAGAGTTGACCCACCCCGCTGCTGATCTCAAAAACGGCCCGCGGCGAATTTCAGAAATTCAAATAGCAGTCGATAGCCGCCGTGACATGCGATTTTCAGACCACAGGAACCAAGCTGAAGTGGTTTATTTAGGTCACAGGCCAAGGTCAAGTTCTTAAGATGTTACTTGGAATATTCTGACCGCTCCCACAACGCATTTCATTTAGAAGCGTATCTTATGGTGTGAAATCATTGACCCTGATTACACATGCTGCTAGGACGGTTTCTTATGTTACGTGCCCCGCACTAGGCCTAGAGTCAAGGGTAGCGCTTGCAATGAAAATTAGAGATGAAACCTTGTCGGTATGTCTGTTTTATTTATTCATTTCTGTCATACTAGAACCATCTTAAACGGGAAGTGGGAAAAGCTAGCCTCAGTCATGGGTAGCAAACACGAAGCAAGAGTGTGTAATTGTCTATAAACCGTCTAAGGTCAAGGTCAATCGGTTGTCGACGGTGGTGGACAATCCGTTGCATCTATTTTATGGATTGTTTCGACGGTTCAGTCTGTCGACAGAGCAACACAACTACCCCCTGAGCCCGCCGCCGGTCACATGGTCGTCGGTTTACGTGTGAAACTGGTAAACGGCTTCAGTCGCCCGTACACGCCGCCGCGGCAGACCTGAGCCCCGCCGCCCCGGCCGCGGTCCTGAGCCCACCCGGACATGGGCCAATATGCGCTGCGATGTATTTCAAGCCATACCTCAACCATTGTTACGGGTAATTACCTGCAATTTGGTACGGACGCCCTTTATAGTCGTATCTAGGACCCGTTTTGCCATGTTTTCAGAATGTGAATCTGAGACCAAAACATGCTGATTGCACTTTTTATCTTTTTAAACTTGACGTGCCAATATTTCAAGGTGCAATGTTGAAACAATGGGACAAAACATATCACTGATGGGCTAATTGCCTCCCATTCCCCGTTTACAGATATAAAATATGTTCATTCTTTCGGCTTCCGTGGCAGTTTCTCCACGGCCATGCACTTCGGTCAAAACCGGCAAGCATGACGTCACTCTGATGTCACTCACGCTCGATCCATCACGGTAGCATAGCTATTATTTTGACAACAGGCGTGGAGCCCATCAATTGACAGCTACTGAAAAAAACCGATGTCTCAAGGCAGCGATGCCTCAAGGCGCTTTTTTGCATTATTGCGAATATTGAACAAAGAACAAGTTGACCCCCGGTCAATGCCGGGTTTTAAGGAGTACTACAGTATCATTTGTCCGTGAATTGAAGCCGGTAAACCCTCAGCAAAAAAAGTCATTCAAACCAACAGTCACCGATTTGCTTCTTTGTTTCTAGCTTCTTTACTATTGCCTGTATGACCCATTATCCAACCAACATCCACCTGTCATGCCGCATTATTCATCCATGACTGAGATCAGGGTTCTCACATAGCGTCGGCTTGTCGCGAGGACACTGATATGTGAACAACCTCATAGTTCAAGACAATAAAGCGTCTGCAGCGGTCTATTGCAATTCCAGTACTGTTGCAATTCGGGGGTTTTACCCTAGTGACATGACATGGCCGCCCCGCTGTAATACTTCCCTCTCCTTATTGGAGAAAACAGGATGCTTCGAATAGGATTCGCACCCTCGTGGCACACACTACCGCCGGGTGGTAAAGGCGACGTGCTCTTGATGGATACGCCTGTCGAAAATATTTCGCTACAGCTCGGGACGGAAGCATACCAAGTCGCGTACCTGCATGCTTCATTGCCACAGATGTGTCTTCAAACACTTTTAATGAGGGCCATTGTCCAATGACAGTGTTGTCCAACTTCCCGTGGCGCACTTCGATGACGCAGGCACGCTTAAAAGCAATGACGAGACGTCATTCGCACCATCACGCCGGTATGCTCCGCACTCCCCCGAAAACTTTACTGCCAGACGCTGCAAACCACATGCCGCAACCAGCGAGCATGCAGGCCCAGCGTGAGGGTCGGAGACTGCCCACGGCCGTCGGACCGTCTTCGCAGCCGCGGGTCAAGTGGCGGCGTCAGTGACGCGTCGCGTGACCACGACTCCACCTGTGTGACGTTTCACTTGTGTCGGTTTTCTCCGGCGGCCGGTGGCGCGTGCCAGCTGCCGCCGCCGCGTGCGACGCTGCCGACGCAGCGAAAGTGGTGGGCGCGTGGTTAGTACGTGCGTCCGTGAGGGGGGGGGGGGGGGGGGCGGGGGGGCAGGCGTGTTTGATGGCGAGTGAAGCCGGACCGCCCGTGCGGAAACACAACGCCCGGGACGCCCCGATCGCGACCATGACGGGCGGCGGCATCGAAAGGGAAAGGCCGCGCGCAGCCGACACCTGGCTCGTCTGAACGGCGCGGCCAGCCCGGTCAGGCTCGATATGGCGCCGGGCTCACCCGCGCCGGGCGCGGGCGCTGAACATCCAGGTCATTGTCACGCTGAAGGCGTTTACAGCGCACCGAGAGTTGCCGAATTGTGAAGCGTGGGGCGGGCGGAGGGGAGGGGCAGAGGTGTGACGCTGGCTCCCGCTTACGATGCGGTCTGGGCGTCACTCGCTCCCATCGGCGGCCCGTGGAACACGGTAAACGGCGCCAAGCCACAAGCTGACACCATGTCCCTCGAGCTTACGTAAATCACCACGGTCCTTCCTGTCTCGGCAGCGTGGTCAGCCCGCGGATGCCCGTTCGTCATTCCAGCGAATGACCCCCGTTCCGACGCGGTATCTGGAGGTAGGCATGACTTGCACACGGGCCACCGGACGGCCGGCTTTTGAACATCAGGCTTAGAGGCGGGCGGCTGCCTCTGCCGCTGGCTCGCGTGTGGCCGAGCGCTGCAGACAAGACTGATCGGCACCACCGCCCGTCTGCAGCCGACCGCTCTCCTCGGCCATGTCATCTCTGCATGTACAAAAAAAAGCAGAACGCGAGCAGGTGCATCAGTGAATGGAGCTCACGACCTCGACGGTAATCCGTCTCTGTGAGCATGATCCGTCGGTTTCCTGAGCGTTTGTTGGTTTGAAGCTCATGCTATCAGCGGTCGGTAGCACGCGATGTAAGACACGTCACGAACAAGCAGCCACGTTGGTGGCAACGGCAGGGTAATATCACGGTCGGGAAGCCCACCAGCTTACCAGGAATTCCCACCGTAAGAAGATCCAATGAGCACCGCAACGCTGGCGACGCAGATCTCAAGGCATTCCAGATTCCCGTTACTTATCGTCTTTAGATTTACTGTAATACGTCGAATAACGACGCCGATCATTTTGGCCTTGGTGCTTTTCTCGTCAATGGATGCTCATTTCCAACTAAACAATCGCTTAGCGAATTTCTCTTCTTTTCCCTCTTCGCATGAGCCACAAACCACGCACCTGTCACCAGATCGTGTGACATATGTTCCGTCTGTCGCGGTTGTGTAAGACGCATAGCATCACGACTGGGCTCCCTGTAATATGTTTAAGCTTTCCCAGCGTGTCCCATCTGTTGTGGTTTTATCATTGTCCGATGCGGCAGCCAATGCCGCGAGCTGCTCGGAAACGACATGATGTTTCCGTCTTGAGCGCGGTGGCTGTTGATGATGATGTTGATGTGATGCGGCTGATGATGATGATGATGATGGCTGTAGGATGTTCGATCATTTGTGGGGTGCAGGCCGACACGTACCTACCGTTTAGATGCTTTGGAAGTGAACACAGTAGGCAACAAACATACGCGTGATCAGGTAAAACATGCCTTCGCGGTCATGCTGCTAGCGTTGCTATGCTTCTTTCCGCACCGCTGACACCCTATGAGCGAATGTCATCCACAAACGATCGTCAAGGTTCTGTCAAAGCCTGCATTCCTTCATCGCTGCCGCCACTGCATGAGCTTATCGGGCCGTTACACGCCCGACTCAACCAGCTGAGTCCATACCATCATCTCAGATCAGAACAAGGCTTAGTCTTTAAGATTGCCTAGTACTCCGATCATGATTCTGAACCTTTAAAACCTCTACGCCCAGCTGTTTTCCGTTGACGACGTCAGAAAGTTACAGAATGATACGAGTGCGCGAAGTGGAGCGATGGTGACGCCGCAGCCATAGCTCGCTTGTATCTGAAAACCGCGTTTGTGGTGATGCAATGGGATAATTAGTAATATAAAAACAAGTTGAATTATTGACATAATTTTTGTATTGCTATGCTGTTCTAATTGCAAACTATATTTCCCGGGCTAATGACGTGTTCCATTCGTTCGAAACATTCTTTTCATAGTCCTCCTTTAATTCTTCATCAGGAATCATCGGGTGAATAGTGGTGACTCACTACACACTCGCACAGTGCGGATGCTATCGCCGGAGGGACCGGCGTGGTACGGCACTCCCGGTGGCTGGCCCGTGCGCCACCCAACCCCTGTTGGCCAGTGCGACCCGACGCCATCAGCAGTTGTCGGCCCCCTCCCGAGCTGGTCCAGAAAGGCGACTGCAGACCGCTAGAGCCAAACTTAGGAGAGATGATAGTGTAGCGTGTAGCAGCCTCCTCTCTCACACGCAATGGCATCGGTTGTCTCAACTGTGGCTCACTTAGTGGCGTGAGATTCGTCTGGTTGGACGGGCCTACGTGCGCGGATGTTTTAAAGCTTTCATATCTTTCAAAAGGGAGGATTTGCGCTAATTATCGACTTAATTTTTGGCCTAGCTCTGCATTTGGCTATTCATTTTTCGACTAAATTCGGCATTCGACCTAATTTCTGCACTTCTGTGGCCATGCGTGTAGAGGCGCCAAACATCGCGGTAGGTTTGCAAATAGGCTCTGCAGTTCAGTTTCGTATCACGCGGACGTACGGCTGAATAGCTCTAAAAAATTCGTCATCGTTTTTTTCATACATCTCATGCCCATGTCTCTATACGTCTGTGTTGTCTTCCCCGAGATCAATCACGCATAACACTGAAGATCGATTCCTATTTTTCATTTTCGCCGACTCCATCTTTTATCCTCCCTTTTGTATCCGCTGATCTCGTTTGAGATTACATAGAAAACAACACGTTCTCAGGAAGACGCTTTAAGCAAGCGTGTGCTTCTTACCAAGCATATAATACATGTACGATTTGCACACATATTAGATTCAATTGACAGCATTTCTGGCGATGTTGGTGCCTATATTTCGGTCAGAAACTGATGAAGCCCTTGCCATTCACGAGACCCATATTAACTTTCAAACGACGACAAACAACACAGCAAGAACATTTCATGACAGCGTATAATCTTCAGCAAATCTCGAGTATCGGGTACAATGGGTGCGTAAAAAATCTCTGATGGCAGGTAGGCGCAAGCCAGATGTCAGCTCAGCTGTGCTGACTGGCGCTTCCCCTAGGGCAGTCAGCGTGGCATTCAGACCCTCCTATGGCAGTCAGAGTGGCATTCAGACCCTCCTATGGCTGTCAGAGTGGCATTCAGACCCTCCGTGGCGATCAGACTGCTCTGGGTGTCTTCGGGCGAGCTTAGCAGCCGTGTGGACGGTGATGAAGGTCCAGTTTTGCTAATAGTTCCTAAGCAGTCTCCGGGCTGTTTAGAAATCCGCTGAATGGGGCTAAGTCTGGGCCCCAGCTGAAACGGATCCTACGTGTTTGACGTGCCCGACTGTGGGATGAGGCTCGATGAGCCCGACCTAGACGGATCCGGTTTGGTCGCTGAGTCCGAATGAGGCTAATCTGTGGCCTCAAAAGGCTTCACGGGGACCTCGTTTCTGTATTCTGTGCATAGCTTGTCTCTAACTTATGTAAGCTTTAGAAGCGAACCCTGGCCAACACTGAGCGCACAGGATACAAACCTTCATTGGTAGTGTTGGGACAGGGCGCAACCCTTTATTGCCACAGTGTGCGGCCTTTAATTGGTCGTTTTGGGATAGCGTGCAGCCCTTTATTGAGACAGGTTACAGCCCTTTACTGGGGCAGGGTACAGCCCTTTATTAGGACAGGGTACAGCCTTTTATTAAGACAGGGCGCAGCCTCTTATTGGGACAAGGTACAGCCCTTTATTAAGACAGGGTGCGGCCTCTTATTGGGACAGAACACAACCCTTGATTGAGACAGGGTACAGCCTTTTATTGAGACAGGCTACAGCCCGTTATTAGGACAGGGCGCAGCCTCTTACTGGGACAGGGCACAGCCCTTTATTTGTCGTTTTATGCTCCGGGTTAAAAGGCTTGACACAAATCCTTCCTTTTGAGAGCTGTGAACGCTTCATCATCCCTGTGCACGTAAGACCGTCTACGCGGACAAAGCTCACGCTGCTAAGTGATGCACAGCTGAGACGACCGATGCCATTGGGTGTGGGGGAGTAAGCTGGTAACCATGATAACTGTACCTCTTAAACAATGATTCCAGCCGCCTGAATTACCTTTCTGGACCAGCGCGGGAGGTTAGTGGTATTGGCGCTGGCCGGCCCGGCCGGCCGGGGGCTGGGTGCCGGAGAGGGCCGGCCGGCCGGGAGCCCCGTACAGAGCCGTTTCGCCCGACCGTGATCGCACGGCACTTTGCGAGTGTCTAGCGAGCCTGTGCTGTTCTTTTGATGGTTTTCTAATGCGGCAATTCCGGAAACCGAGGTTTGTAATGTATCGAAAGTATTATCGAGTTGGGGAATGGAGTTCTTTTGATCGAAAAGCGTAGCAATCCAATAAAGGTGTCGATAATCCACCTTGCTTTTGTAATTTCACCTCGGACATTTGTTACTTGCATAATGCTGTTATCTAATCGAAAAATGTGGAATAGCTGAGCAGTCACCGCTTTCCTTTGCGCATTTCTGGCATTCCGTCACGTTCATACGCCTTCTTCAACGAAGGACGGCTGCGCGCAGAGGTCCAAAAGCTTCAGAATCCTGATCGGAGCGCAAGATAACTCCGAAATCAAACTGTATGCATATCTGTGGCGGTAGCATGTAAAGTTGCACGTTTAATGGTTGAGTTGGCAGCACCCGTCTATCAATCGTGGTGTGAAACACTCTATAACCAATCACCTGCTCATGTCCCTCGCCCCTCACAATCTCCTCAATGGGGGTGCCGATAGTGTAGTGGTTGATGCATTTGCATTAACACGCGCCCCCGGCTAAGATACCCTTCGCTCGGGTGGGGGTCAATTTGACCCCCCTTGAAATCTCAGGAACTAAGAAGACTAGAGACACCAAGTTTTTGGGGTGTGTTGACCTGTACGTGAACTCACTTAGGCCAAAATTTGAGCTTCCTAGGTCATGACCTTCAGGTCAAACAAGGCCAAACAAGGGCAGATTCCAGGTTGGTCTCTTAAGTGCCCCCAGAACCTAGGAAACTGTTTCTAGCAAAAGGTCACAAACCCATTTGGGGCAGTGACCTTGTTTGACATTTTCAAGGTCATGGTGGCCAAAATCATACAAGACTGCTCTGAGTTTTGCATTTGAATAACCAGCAAAGATTACGCCAGGCAGCATGTTCCTAAATCGTCGACCCAGGTCATCTTAGGTCAATGGCTTTTTCTGACCTCTAAGAAGTCAGTGGACGATGTATAATGCGGTTCCTGCCGTCAATAAATTCGAAATGAGCAACACAAACTATCGCATACAGCAAGCCCTAGAGTAATAAATCGGGCTGGTTGTGACCTTAGTCTGACCTTTATGTCTGACCTCAGGTCAACTTAATTTACTCATTCAATATGTGTGGTGCCTAAGATAGCATCTCAGAGATGTATGGCTTCGTCAAACACTCCGTTATTGTATCAGATTGGACGATTCCATAGAAATTGCCTTCGCTGAAACCATCGCCTGACTTCGACCTGCCACAGGTCAACGGCCTTACAAGGTGATCTAAATTTGTGTTGTCAAACGATCCACTATTCAATTTTCTACAGCTGTGCAAAATTGGGCGCGGCCATGCCGTGCCGTTCGAAAATCATTCTGGAAAACCTTTGGGGGTCAATTTGATTCCCCCCAGCCGAGCTCAGTGGGTGAGAGGCAGGCGATGCCATATAGTCTCAGCAGCTGAGAACGTCGTAAAGCCCCAATGACATGACACATGACAATCTCTTCAATGTTCCAATTTATGTAGAAGGCATAATTATGGCTGATGTAAAATGGGCGCCTCCTTTGGATCAGCTCTCATAAAAATGCATCGCTGTACGCAATATATGCCTCATGAACGTTCGCTATTAATGCTTTGCGACGCACCCAGCTGCCGAGACTACATGGTGTCGCCTGCCTCTCAACCTGGCGGGAAGGGCGGGCACTGCGGGAAAATGAAGCCCGTGCCTTTGGCTTCCCAGCCGCGCAGCTCAATCACCACACCATCTGTACCCTAGGCCTCATGAATGCGCATTACATGAATACATTCTTATACTTGTTTATGTTTCCCGAATCCGAGCTGGGTGTCTTAACCTAAAAGCGAGTCCGAACCCAATGTTTCTTGATTAAATTGGCGAGTTGGGTCCCGATTCATTTTTAAGATAAAATAAGTGACTTGAATCCAAATCATAAATGGTCCCAATCCGAAAAGGACTGCGATGCGTCCCGATCGCCACACAGGTTGCAGCACGATACGACTCACGCGCCCCCTCCCCGTGTGCCGCAGCCCCTAACGCCAGCCGGGCCGTTTCAGAGGGTGTGTCGTCCGACCATGATACCGCGCTGCCGGGCCCGCCTGCTGCTGGCCTGCCTGGCCGCTGCCGCCGCCGCCGCCCCATCCGTCGCCAGCGCCGGCACCGTGATCGCGCCGCCCTGGGTGAACGTCGCGCTGAACCCGTGCTCGGCGAGCAGCTGGCAGCTGGTGCACTGGCCTGCCGACGGCCGCTGCTACCCCGATCTTCCAGCAGGGGCCCTGCTCGCCGACCCAGGAGCTGACGTGGGACCGCGTCGCCGGCCAGCCGGTCTGCGTCTGCCCGGACGGTCATCTGCTGCATGCGCCGAACGGCCGCTGCTACCGACGGCACGCACGCGGACCCTGTCCCGCGCCGCCACTACCTGGTGGAGGATGTGGCGACGAGCGCGCCCACGTGTCGCCGGCAGGGCCGCTGCCCCCCGGGTGAGCTGTTCTGGCCGGCGGAGGGCCGCTGCCACCGCTACCTGAGCCGCGGCCCGTGCGGCAAGGGCGAGCTGCTCACCTTCAGCCGCGCCACGCACGAGCCCGTGTGCGGCTGCAGCCGCCGGTACATGGCGCGCACCTACTGGCCACACACCGACTCCTGCTACCAGCAGATGACGCGCGGTCCGTGCCCACACGGGCTCGTGTTCTTCTACAACAGCACGCGCCGCCTGGCCGAGTGCGGCTGCCCACGCCGGCCTGCGCGAGAACTACGACCGCCGCTCGGGCCAGTGCTACCCGCAGGGCGAGCGCGGCCCCTGCCCGCCCGGCAACGTGTTCGCCTTCAACAACGTCACGGGCAGCACCGAGTGCCGCTGCCCGGCGGACAGCCTCGTGCTGCCCGACACGGGCGCGTGCCACCGGGCCTTCGCGCAGGGCCCGTGCAAGCGGAACCGGTTCGTGGCGCCGCGGCCGGAGGCGCCGCACCAGGGCGTCTGTGTGACCAACCCGTGCCGCCGCGGCGAGCTGTACTTTTCCAGCCGACCAGTACTGTCACCGGATCGGACGGCGCGGCCCCTGCCCGGCCGGCCAGCTGGTGCAGTACGAGGAGTTCCGCGGCATCAGCTACCGCGGCGCGTGCGGCTGCACCAAGCACTTCACGCAGAACTTCTGGCCGGCGGACGGCCGCTGCTACGAGCAGCAGACGCGCGGCCCGTGCCCGGCGCGCGAGCTCTTCGCGTACAACGCCACCAGCGGCCGGACCGAGTGCGCGTGCTCACCGGAGCTCGGCCGGACAGCGGCCGGACAGTGCGCCGAGCCGTTCTCGCGCGCCGGCTGTCCGGCCGGACAGGTGTTGCTGCCGGCCAGCCCGGGCGAGCTGCGCTGCGGTTGTCCTGCCGGACAGCGGCCGGAGCCGGAGCGCGGCCGCTGCCTGCCGCTGCAGAGCGAGACATTCAAGGGTCTGGAGCTGCTGCGTGTGGTGCGGTGACCTGTCGGCTGGGCCGGCCACGGAAAGCGGGTGACACGGGACAGAGCGGCGCCGGCTAACCACGCGCTTTCATGCGGCGACTGGAGTACAAAGTGGACGGATGCCGACGAGCTGTGCGTGACAGGACCTGAGCTCATGCCTCCAGCTGGAGTGCCGAGCTATGACGCGTCGGGCTACCCCAGACACGGGTGGAGGCCAGCCAACTGGAGAGATGGATGATCGGGTCGCTTTGTGTGTGATGTTTGACGCGTCCGTCTGACCGGTGCATCTGACGATGGCTGTCGATTAGCTGCAGTTCAATCAAAAACCGAGGCGATTAGCATGGGGGGTTGTTAGCGTCAGCAGAGACTTCCGGTCGCTGCACGCATATCCCACACCCTCTACAAATTCTTCAGACGACATCTATGTCGTCTAAGATTATACCAGAAAACATTTCATTGCTGTATGGGCAGGCTTCCACCAATCATAACTCGTTACATTTTACGGTGCCCGTTGATTACAAGTGTCTGCTACCGCGATAGTGAATGTTGCCATGAGCCTACAATAGCTCGGCCATGTCTTCATGCAAGCAAGAAAGGCTGTTCATCTCCTGACTGTCCATCATTATGAGTACCTATGTTGAAAATGACGGACTTTCAGTTTGCCAGGAGGTGCTGGTTAAACAAAGACGAAACAGCTTAACTTGCTAACTAGCTAGCAAGGTTAGCTGGAATGATTGGCTGGTATCCTCCGCTTAGCCAGCACTTCCTGGCATATCAAACGTCTATCATTATAGCACATCATACACATAGCACCTTAAAAGGCAATGTTCTTCATGGGAAGGCTACTTTTCAAAATGAGAAAGATCTGGTTATGATATGCTCTAACATGACCAAAACTAACAAAAAAGCATACAAACCATGCCAACAAATCTAACATAGCAAACAACTTAAGAGACTAATGTGAAAACCTGAGCCTGTGCCCTTGGCTTGTGAACCTTAATATGTGTATACGTGGAGTGTTTTTATTGACAGGGTCATGAGCACATTGTGTTCCAAGCCCGCATTTCTTTCACAATGATGTTGCCACACACATCTTTTCAAAGGCCGCATTACGCGGCATCGAGCGTTACAGGAATCATCATCCTCGCTCACGCGGTGCCAATATAAGCGCCACTTATTACTACTCTGAGTTTGTCATCGCGGTCAGTTCACGATGCTAAGAAGACCTCCAAGAAGTCGCCACCAGCGACCGTGTGGTGCCCCGTTGAAGGAAGTCTGCTATCGAGTTTAGGATGGCCGTCTGAGACAACTCGATTCCAGAGTTTTGAAAAGCCGACGTTTGGCTGTCTCATGTGGTTTCATTCGACGTAAATTGAATAATTAATTATGATAAACATCAAAACAAATTCAGACGCTGCTCAAGGCACCAAAAGCTTCGAACATGGGCACCTTCATTTTGTCTGTTCAATATTGTCGGTTTGATGAGACAAACTCGGCGACATTATTTGTATTTGATTTTTTGCTTGCACAAGCGATTCATTTCCATTTTTGAGCGGTGCAATTTTTTTTAAAAATCTGGTGAATGGTGGGACCGGCCGTTGCGTCAGCACTTATGGGTCTTTCGCTGCACCAGCCCTGCTGAGGTCAGCTGTCGCTCTGGCTCTGGTGGGACCGGCCGTTGCGTCAGCACTTATGGGTCTTTCGCTGCACCAGCCCTGCTGAGGTCAGCTGTCGCTCTGGCTCTGGTGGGGATGGCCGCACCCTGGCTCCAGGCTACATCGCCACGAAGGCTCAGTCAGGCAGGGGTCGGCTGTTCCGCTGGTTCTGGTGAGGCTGGGGGCTGCGCTAGCTGTTGGAATCTACCGCTGCGGTGCTACGGATGAAGCTGTCCGCCACGCTGGCTCTACTGGGACCGGTCACCGCGCCGGCTCTGTGGAGTTAGCTGGCCGCTGCGTTCATTGCCTTGGTGGGGCTGGCGTCTGCTCTTGTTTTGGTGACGTCGGCCTGTGTAAGTTTTGGTGGGGTCTCAGTCCTGACCTGATTGTCCTTTGGGCTGGTCCTGATCTGGTGATGCGCCCACCCAAGTAAGATGCAAACACGCACTGTGGTATAAATGCCGCAATATATCAGACAGCCCACGCCACATCTGAGGGTATAGATCACGAGCTTTGCGAGCATTGGGCCTCTTAATTTTATCCGACGGCGACCACGTTTTGTTAGGGACGTCTTAAGGTCATCTGAGCGCAGTCAGGGTTCAAATCTAAAGACAATCCGGAAATGAGCAGCGGCAGCTCTCCCAGCATTCGCCATCCTCGGCCATGCCGTCTTCAGTAGTGGGCGTCCTCATTGCGAGTTCCACTAGCGGCCCGCGCGATCATAGCCGAATGATATCCCCCAAGTGAGCACCGCTCGTAGCTGTATAACGCTCTCCTAGCGAGCTCCACTGGTGACTCTGTGGCGCCTTCCAAACGGGTGACCACGTGACGCTCTTCAGACGCGTGACCAAGCCGCGCCCTCCAGACGGGTGGCCATGCGGCGCCCTCCAGACGGGTGACTCTGCGATGCCCTTTAAAAGGGTGGCCATATGGCGCCCTCTAGACAAATGACTATGTGGTGCCCTCTAGACGGGTGGCCAGCGCTCTCCCAAGTGGATGACCATGCGGCGTTCTCTAGACGGGTGACCACACGCGCCCTTCGGGCGGGTGACCACACGGCGCCCTCCAGACTGGTGACCATACGGCGTACTCCAGACGGGTGACTCTGCGATGCCTTTTAGAAGGGTAACCATGCAGCGCCCTCTCGACGGGTGACCACACGGCGTCCTCCAGACGGGTGACCACACAGCGCCCTCCAGGTGGGTGACCACACGGCGCCCTCCAGACGGGTGACCGCACGGCGCCCTCCAGACGGGTGACCACACGGCGCCCTCCAGACGGGTGGCTCTGCGATGCCCTTGAGAAGGGTAACTATGCAGCGCCCTCTCGACGGGTGACCACGCGGCGCCCTCTCGACGGGTGACCACGCGGCGCCCCCCAGACGGGTGACCACACGGCGCCCTCCAGACGGGTGGCTCTGCGATGTCCTTTAGAAGGGTAACTATGCAGCGCCCTCTCGACGGGTGGCCACGCGGCGCCCTCAAAACGGGCGACCACACGGCGCCCCCCATACGGGTGTCCACGCGCCGCATGAAAATCAGCAAAATGCGCTCATGATTGGCCGCAACAGAGGTCTCTCCACCCCGAACGCCAGACCTGATGTCCGGCGTAGCTGTCGACGCACGTGCGCCACGCAGCGGTCACCATCTGTAGCAGGTGCCCGAGGCGCCGCCGGGCGGACTACAGCGCATATCATGTCGAGGAAGCCGTGTCAGTTACTCCGCCCCAAGGGGGTGAGGGTCGTGGGCGAGCCGGCCTGGAGAGCCGAGAACCAGATAGTTGAGACCCAGGAGCAGGCTTGGCAGAATAGTGGTTTATTTGGTACGTAGACACGGCTAGCTGCCGAATGATGCGACAGAAAATACACGCCACCGTCGCGCTAAAACTTGGAATTGACTCATTACGGGGTAAATGGATATATCTTTATTCCATGCCTCTGCAGCGTTCACACATCAATACTCAACGAAAATTACCAAGATAAAACACGCTTATTTCCAGCACAGCGCGGTCGTTGCGCTTCGATCAAAACGACTATTCCAGTCAAATAGACGCGACACTCAGTAAAGATATCGACCACCCAATTTAGATTGTAGCTACATTAAGCATATGTTACAAACGTGCACAGCTTCCATCGCAATACCGATCCACTACGGAAATAAACAAACAATGATGGACTGACAAACAACAGAATCAACTCCAAATTCGCCCTGCCAATAACGTCGCAAGTTGACAAGCATGACCACCATCACCCTTCGCTGCGTCCCGGCGACGCCTGGTCCCGTCGGAGATCCGGCGCTGCACTCCGCCTCTCACCACAAGCTGGCCAATCGGCGTGCAGCATTCAAGGTCGCCGGATCAAACAGCCAAACACTGATAAACACGTCACTTCTTGGCCTGCAGCGCATTGGCTAGCCAGTCCATGGCCTGGTCGAGGCCCTCTCCTTTGATCGCTGACGTCTTGAAAATTTGGAAGGTTCGCGTCTTTAGCGCCTCCAGGCCGAGTGCCGAGTAGACCTCGGCCACGGACATGGCGCCCTCCATATCCTGCTTATTGGCTAGGACTGCCAATATGGCGCCCCTCAGCTCCTCCTCCTGCAGACAGTAGCAGGTCGGCGTCAGCACGGGGGCACATGTGAGAGGAGTGAACATGCAGTGGTAGAAAGCCTGTCAGGAGTTTCACGAGCGGACAGACTGCACCAGCCTTGTCGCTGCAAAAAACAGTTTACTGCAACATCCTCAGAGCAAACAGTCTACCAAGATGACCAAAATCACAGCGTGCTAGGAAATTTCCGGGAAAGTCCACCGCGAAAATCTAGGGCGTGCAAAGTCCACCAAGAGAGCCCAACCAGCGGAGAGTGCCGGTTGAAGGCTGGGGGCAGCCTGCTGCAGGCCATTGCAGCAGGAGGTCATCCATCAGAGCAGGTCCAGAAGCCCGCAGGGCGTCAGATGGCTCTCCCGCCAGACACGCGGTGCAAAGCAGAGGGCGGCCCGCTCGTGCCTGCCACGCACCTCCGCATGGAGACCAGCTCCTGTTTGGAGATGCCCATGCGGTCGCGGTCAGCAGAGTCCACCACATAGATGATGGCGTCCGTGTTGGAGTAGTAGCAGCGCCAGTACGGCCTGGAGCATGAGAGCGCAAGTTACAGCCATCTCCCAGTGACACACTGGGGCCAGCCGCGCCACAGCATTTCGCCCGAGTCGTAGTGATGTGGCGATTATGGCACTTGATTTGCAAGAGAAAATGTGAGGATAGATGCAGCAGTGCATAGTAGTGCATACAGAAGTGCATTCCAAAATGTATTCCTGTGAATAACCAGCTTCACTTGAGACTTAGCTTTATACTCCTTCACAAACCCTGCTTCTGAACCAGTGTGATTATATATGCCACTCCATCATAGATAATCATCACCCAAACACTTGAGTACACTCCACAGCTACAATGCTGTACCTCTGAAACATTGATTGTAGTGTATCAGGCTCATTAGACATACACCTAATGATCCACCATGCAATAAAAACAGTTACTCTTGGATTAAATGCATCATTAAATTACATGCCACCATGGGTCAGAAGTGGAACAGGTATTCTGAATGAATCAGGCCTATTACTTGAACAGCTATGACACCTGGAAACTACTTCCAATTTATTTCAACATTACCTGATACTGGTTGGCCTCCCAGATCCCACACTTGAAACTTCAGGTTGTTGTAGGTCACCTGCTCCACATTGAAGCCAATGGTGGGAATCGTGGTGACCACCTCACCCACTTGAAGCCTGCGGCCCAGAAAAATCTGTCACTGACTGGCAAATGCTTGTGTGGGATGCTGTTAAAACAGTAACACTGCTACTGAACAAATACATAGCTCATATATACTGAAACACTGCAGCATTTACACACTGCATGCTACTTAAAGAGCAGAATAATGTAATAAAGACTACATAATGATGTTGCACATTATGCCTTACCAACAGCTTCCACAATGTAATGAACATTGGAATGCTTTTACTAAATAGATTAAAAATCAGATTCGGCACCTGGCCCATATTTAGCCAAGAGTAAATTTGTTCACAGTGCATCTCTTACCTGTATAAAATAGTAGTTTTTCCAGCTCCATCTAGGCCCAGGATGAGTATCCTCATTTCCCTGCTGCCAAATAGGGCCCTGGAAGTAGCTCAAGAGACCACCTGAAATGATAAGTATTAAAAATAAAGGTGTGACCCTTCTCATGGACAACTACCCTATCTTAGCATTAAAGTATTTTTGGGGATGACCAGAACAATTTTCCTATCATGGAGAATCTGCTTTCACTAAACTTTCAGTGAGTGTAAGAGGAAAATGGAACACTTCAGTTTCACAGACCAGCCAAAAACCACAGCAATGTACTAACAAGCTGTTTCTGATATCCAAAGGTTAAAACTCCAAGCATATGGGTCATCTTTCCATGCTAATTTCCATTAGTTAAACATTCAAATGAAACTCACACAAACTTCAAGCACTTTCTCTGGGCAAAAAAATATATCAATATGAACTACTGTTTTCCACATCCAAATTCTGCATGAAAGCTAAAGATTAAGATGACATAAAAAACACAAAATTCACTTGGGGTATATTTTATTCAACTTACATACCCCTTCTGATACAATTTACCATCAGATTATCATTTTCTGTGATCTCCCCAGTCACAGAACATGTCATGATGCATCCCATGATTTAACTCAACAACTTCTAACCCATTTTTTTAGCACCCTGTCCACAGTTGGAAATTGTGCTTTATCTAACAAGATCTTATTAAAAGCCAGCCACGGCGTGCAGACCAGGTGTCGGGGAAGTGCCTATCATTCTCGAGCCTGGGGTCTGAGTCTGCTGAGTTAATTCAGTTCTCCATTCCATCCACACAACTCTGACAAGCACCTTGTTTCATAATACTCAAGCCAAGAATTCACGAAACTTACCCATAATATCAGGCACAATCCGCCCAGGGACAATTAAACCACCTTGCCCGAGCGGCTATCTGACCCGCTACTTATAAGAAAGGTGTGTGCCTAAGCTCCTACAATCACTAGCCCTTGGATATTTATCGTAACCTCATCACTCATATATGTGATACGTTATTATTACTCAGCTAACAACAGACTACAACACGACACCCGGCTCGTCGCTACGCGCAGTCCCGGCCCAATCGCAAGCATAAACATAGATAGTTGCACGGCGAGCGTTATAAATGAAAACGTGTCTGTTTCTATCCTGACGCATCTCGACGAGTTCTGTTCACGTAAATGTCCGCCTCTGTACGCAAGATTTGGACAAATCAAAAGACAGAATTTGTCAAAAATGTTAGCCGCTTGATGATTCGCTCAAATCTTGGGTTCCTCAACGTGCAGGTGGATATACACCTTTGTTGATAACATCTGCCAACGAGTTATACGCACAATATAGCAGCTCGTGACCAATCAGAGAAGGCAGATAAGAAACCCTAGTTTGCTATTGGCTGTCAGATCGATCGCAAGCGCAGAAAGTGGAGTGTGCGCATCATTTGAAACGCAGCAGATGTGCTATGGCAAGATGTAATATATGTCATCTTGACCTTCCGCGTTTGAGCTCTGGTTTGTAATCGCAAGGGCGTGGGACAGGTCCGAGGATGGTGGGGAGGGCGGTTGGTATTCGTATGGTCCAACATTAGGTATTAGTTGTCATGCTTGTGTGGATCCCACTATTCTACAGGATCAAGGACGTCGGTTCACAAAATGCGTTGAGAGGGGGAGGCTAAATAACGAAAAGTGACCCACTGTTGTCTTCTGTCTCAAAGGAGGAACTTAGTGCTCAACAAGCATGGTGCTGATGTCTTTGCCGAGGATTGCAGACTGCTTCATATTAAATTTATGCGGGGCAACCACTTCTGCATCAGCGGGCTTCAGTGTGTCAGAAGTGTCATTCATGTAGGATGTGTTTGAATTTTGTTTTGGTGATAGAATGGTGCATCCTAAGCAGTAGACCTCAAAGTTTCATAAACATTCTGACATGTGTGTTACTGCCATTGGATAGGAACTTAGTATCATCCCTGCATTGTTGTGCAACATATTTTTCATGCTTCTCTACCCTCCCCATGTAATATAATACTGCTTTAAGATATTGACTATGTTTTAACCATAAGCAGACATTTAATCATGCGCACACTGCTTTAATGCTTGCTGGAATGAATTAATGGTCTTGTAGGCTAGACTGCCATAGATATCAGAAGTGCCTGGAATTTATGAATGGTCTTGTGTGTAGAATCTCAGGTATAAAACTGCTGCCTATGTTAAGTGCACTTTGAAATGTTTTTACAGTTGCATGCAGTTTTCACATCTTCAGCCATACCATAAAGCTATGAAAATGTGGGAAGATAATGGGCTGCAGATAAACATGCAGTTGTACATACCTCTCAGCAAGACAAACTGCACCTTAACTTGTTTTCAGAAATTATGATACTGCTCCTTTCAGGTGGGTCTGTGAAGGACATAGTCCATGATGCACTATTTTTGCTGCTGTCAGCATCAGTTTAGTTAAGCATCTGCCCAGTTAAGCTGGTAATGCTAACATGTATTGCCATTGTAGCCTATTTGTCATTACCCATGTGGAGAGAATGTTACAACAAGCAAGGAGGAGGCAGAAAAGTTTTTTATCTCAGTTTATAGTGAAGTTTTATCCAGGGATGAGCTTTTTATTCAAAGATAGTGGGTTAGGGCTAGCTTTTTATTTCTACTTAAGCCATATGTGGCAAGCTTTATCCTTGATGACCTGTAATGCCACTTATTGATGCACATTATGTACTGACTTGCCCTTAGCCTTTTCTGACTCTGCATTGGCCACACCCATGTTCACACTGATGCCACCCACAACTCATTGCTCTCCCACTTCCCTGTGCTGTCCCTAGCCTATCTCCACTCCAGCCCTCCTTCTGACCTTACTGACCTGTTACCACCACAGTGCTGCTGGGTCATGCCTCTGGCCAGCTGCCTGATGTGTACCAGCAAGGTGCGCTGCGCCCATACCACAGCTACGCGGATGTGGCGCTCTTTCACTACCATGTACCAGCCGGCCACATCCCAGCACTCTGGGAGTTCTCGGCAGTCATGGACGACCCTGGATGCCATCGCCGGGACATCCATGTGTGAGTGTGGTTCTGGGAGAGGTCCTGCATTGTGGACTGTGTTTGATTGCTTTGGCTGTATATATTGTGTGAGGCTTAAAGTAGCTTAGTGCCTCAACTCAGCTGCATGCATTTCATTATCCCTGAAGTAACATATTGGCTTAGTCCAGCAAATACCTGGGCTGATAGTTTGTGACAATGTTCTAATGTTTTCCGACATATCTGACTTCTGTGGCTTGTGGCACCCAGCTGTGACACTGTTTCTGGCCTGTAAAGTCCTACAGCCCCGCCCAGATCGGCTACTGTGATAGTCAAATGTTTTGCTGGTGTAGTTGTGTGCCCTGTGCTCGCTTCCGTGCCGTGCTCGGTCACCCGTTCCCGCCCAGTCGAATGGTCGCCTGGTGTAGTTGTGTGCCCTGTGCTCGCCTCCATGCCGTGCTCGGTCGCCCAGTCCCGCCCCGCTCCACACAAGCTCTCCCCCGACCACGGCAGCATCGACACGTCGCCTCCCCGCACGGCCAGGTACCTGCAGCATGGCAGCTACCCCGTGGTCAATCCGGAGAACGCGTCGCAGCCGGCTGAGCTGTACGAGCGGCGCGCGGGGCTGCTTCGCCTGGCACTGGTGACCGGCACGCTGCCACACGACTGCACGAGCCACCGGCTGACAGTAGCGGCGCCGCTGGACGGGCCCTGGTACGCCGTGGCCTACATCGCGCCTGGGACCGCGCCGTGGCACAGCAGGTGAGCCGTCGCTGGACGGGCCCTGGTATGCCGGGCCTACATCGCGCCCTGGGACCGCGCCGTGGCACAGCAGGTGAGCCGCCGCTGGACGGGCCCTGGTATGCCGTGGCCTACATCGCGCCCTGGGACCGCGCCGTGGCACAGCGGGTGAGCCGTCACTGCAGCGAGCCCTGGTGCGCCGTGGCCTACATCGCGCCCTGGGACCGCGCCGTGGCACAGCGGGTGAGCCGTCACTGCAGCGAGCCCTGGTGCGCCGTGGCCTACATCGCGCCCTGGGACCGCGCCGTGGCACAGCAGGTGAGCCGTCGCTGGACGGGCCCTGGTATGCCGTGGCCTACATCGCGCCCTGGGACCGCGCCGTAGCGCAGCAGGTGAGCCGCTGCTACAGCGGGGGCGACGGCCAGGAACACGAGGTGCGGGTCTGTGTGGGGGTGCTGTTCTGGGACCAGGCCGTGGCTCAGCAGGGGTCTGGTGGCAGCAGGGTATGCTAGAATGGGGTCAACAAAAGATGAGATAGACGGGGTGGTGTCGCCTCTGCTGAAGCCGGACCAGCGTAGTAGGCACTGGGGAGGGCATGCTGGGACTAGGAGGGCATGAGGAGTTGGCGATGACAGACATTATCCAGCTCGGCGACGGTCACGGCAAACGGGTGGTTGTGCTGGGGCTGAAGTGGAAGTCGATGGAAGGAATGCGGAGAGCTGTGGGTTTTAGATACCATTGTGCCACCAAAATCGTTGTGAGATCCTTTGCCGTTGATTGGATCGCAGAGACCGCGTCCGACGGACTACAAGAGATCTACACGGTCGGAATGAAAATGACGGACCATGGATCGAGACATTTAATGGAGGAATCTTTGTGCGTCATTCGTATGATAGCAAAGTGGTAGTCAGTACCGTTATACCGGCAAACCTGATTAAGTGGCATGTCAAGACCCTTTCTGTATGCAGTGATTCTTTACACATTGTACAATGGCTGTCTGTATTTCAGGGCATCACTCACAGGTGTTTGTACAGTCTGGGCTCGATCGGGTACTGGCACCAGGAGCGTCCCCAGCTGCTGGAGACCAACCGACCTCTCACCATACGCACCATCGCGCGGACATCCTACTTCAAGTCAGTGAGCCGAAGCCCTGCCCCGAGGCAGTGCTCGCCGGCTCGGGCGGGCGCTCTCGCCACGGCGAATGTCACGTGTCCATTAGCCTGTTGCTGCTGCTCTCGGGGTGGGATACGTGCACCCGCGCGCTCTAAACGATGTGGCACGTGCCGCATGGCCCGGTACATTGCTGTATCAGCACTGCCACTTGTTTCAGGCTTCCGCCACATCTCATCTGGTGCTTGCTCTGTTCATCGGTCATGCGCTGTACGACTCGTTCCATTACGATCCTGGCTTGATGTGCAGCTTGCTGCGCCCCCCCCCCCCCCTTCCCCCACAGCTGCTTATCAACATTAGACTGGGGCCGTGTATGCCTGTGTGGGTGGCCACTGGTGTCCCTGTGACCGTGAGTGCACAGGTAGTCTTTCTGTCCGTCCCGGCTACCATGCACTCCTTCGTGAACCCGTGTCCGTCGCACCAGATCGTGTGAACTTCCATGCTTGTGTGCCGGCCGTGATCAGCCGTGTCTACACTGCCCATATCTGACGCTGTCCATGTCTGACACAGGCCATGTCTGACACTGCCCGTACCTGACTGTCCGTGTCTGACGTTGTCCATGTCCGACACTTCGTGTCTGACACCGTCCATGTCTGACGCTGTCCATGTCTGACACTCCGTGTCTGACACTTCTCATGTCTGACGCTGTCCATGTCCGACACTGCCCATGTCTAACACCGTCCACGTCTGACACTGTCCGTGTCATACGCTGTCCATGTCCGACACTCCGTGTCTGACATTGTCCATGTCTGACTGTCTGCATTTGACGCTGTCCGTGTCTGGCGCTGTCCATGTCTGACGCTGTCCGTGCCTGACTGTCCGTGTCTGACTCTGCCCATGTCTGACACTGTCCATGTCTGACACTCCGTGTCTGACATTGTCCATGTCTGACTGTCCGTATCTGACGCTGTCCGTGTCTGACGCTGTCCATGTCTGATGCTGTCCATGTCCGACACTCCGTGTCTGACGCTGTCCATGTCCGACACTCCGTGTCTGACACTGTCCATGTCAGCACACGTCATGACTGTCCGTGGCTGTGTGCGCTGGTCTTGATACCGTGTCTGCGCCGGCAGATTCCACGTGCCGTCGGACACGGAGTCGGTGTCGGTGCGGGTGTCAGGCTGCCGCGTGGTGGAGCCCGGCGCGCCGCCCGAGGATGACGTGCACCCCTGCATCAGCTGGCTGGCGCTGCGGCCGCGCGCCCTTCCAACCAGCGCGCCATCACGTACGCCGTCTGTACTGTCACTCACTACCACGTGATCGCCACTTGCCATACCTCTGCTGCTCGCTGAGGACCCTCGGGTGCGCCCAAATCGCCGAGCCGTGCCATGGCCTGACTGTTGCCTGTATCGTGAGGGGGTCTCGACTTAGCTGGCTTTCCATTGTCCGGCCGCAGCCTGCATCCTCAGGAGAGGAGTACCCACATGAAAGCTTGATGTCCCGACTGTTGCCTTTGTCTTCTGAGAAGCTCTCGCTTATGGATCGTGTGGCGTGGCGACCTGCGGCTGTCTGACCGCTATCTGTGTCGTTGCGAGGGTCCTCGCTGGACCGGGCGGTGTCGTGACCGCCACCCGCGTCCTCAGAGGACGCCGCCTCGCCAGAGGACGCGCCCGTGGGCCAGCTGAACATCAGCGGGGTCCGCGAGGGCCGCACGTACCGGCTGGAGCCGGACCAGCTGTGGCTCGACGCCTACTACCACCTGGCCGTGGTGGCCGAGAGCAACGCCGTCGTCAACCTCACCGTCACCCTGACACGTGGGTCTCGGGTTCGGGTCCAGCCGAGGGAAATTCTCGGGAAACCCGTGTTCTGCCAAATGCAGGAGCATGTTTTGGCATATATCGTTGTTCACGCCGATGAGGAAGACGACAGTTAGTTTGTTAGGCACACTTGGTGCGGTTATTCGCCCAGTTGAACGCCGCAGGGCCCCGCGCTGTCAGCGCGCGATGGTGTTCCCCGCTGAAGCATGCGGCTATATCATTGCCTCTAAATATCAGGGTAAGGTCATCCAAGGTCAAGATCATGAAAGGTCGCATAATGTTGTCAGATGGCCTCATGCTATGCTTAGAAGGGAATAGCGCACGCTTAGTTGTCATCTTGACTTCGCCGCTATATTAGAGGCCACGTACAGACGGCAAAAATTTGTTTGACCTATCTGGATCGGCCAACCGTAGGAGGTGCCGTAAAGGTACCGAGAGAAGAACTGTAAATCACGTACGGAACTGCTGCCTATTTTTTATCGAACACATAGATTGTGGAACCGGCAGTGGAATCATACCCCCACCTCGTCCTGTGCTGGCGAGGTGCAGTAAACCTAAGAGCCACCATTCGAGTCGTAGGTGAACTACTGCTGTGCGTGGGCACACAGGACTTTGTCAGGGTCAGACAGGTGCACGGCCAGGTAGTGTGTGATAGTGACTGTGCCGGAAGGCAGGCAAAGGAGAGGGAACATCGATTGCCGGCGATTGTGCGGTTGTTGGTAGTTAAAGGGACGGATTGAGACGACCTACTAGTAATGCACATCAGACGAGGACAATAGCCCGAACGATATTTCCGTCCTTAATTTGGTCGTTATTGTGGGCCTGATGTGGCATTGGTCAACATGACACCTAACTACAAAGTAAGTCAAAAAATGTTTGAGTGTCTTGTCAAGTCCTCGTGCTGTGCGGGAAATGCTCGTTAAAACATTGCCATACAGTTGTCATCGGTGCCTGTTCTTATGACTATGCGGCTCGTGAATTCTTGAAATGTCCCTTATTTCAACCCTCACTGTACTTGAAAGCGCATGCCATTGGAGAAATGAGGACAGCTCCCTGCTCTCATCCCAAAGGCAGTAATATCGCTGATGGTTGAAGTCGCCGTGCTGCCTGTCTGGGTCCGATGGTCTTCTCACAGCCGTGCTGTCTGTCTGGGTCCGATGGCCTCCTCACGGCCGTGCTGCCTGTCCGGGTCCGGTGGCATTGTGGCCGTGCTGTCTGTTCGAGTCCGATGGCCTTCTCACGGCTGTGCTGTCTGGCCGGGTCCGATGGCCTCTTCTCGGCCGTACTGTCTGTCCGGGTCCGATGACCTCGTAGCTGTGCTACCTGTCCGAGTCTGATAACCTCCTCACGTTCGAGCTCAGTGCACCCTCGTCGTGGCGCTGATCCTGTGTTCCTGCCCACCACAGACTGCGAGTTCGTCGCCTCCGAGGGCCGGCCGCCGACTGCTGACGTCACGGCTGACGTCAGCGGTGGACGGCAGACGAACGGCTCCGTAGCGCGGCCGACGTCACCGCGCTGCTGGCCGCTTACGGAGCTGACACGCATCAAGTACGCGCAGGACTTCACCGACACCTTCCTGGCTGTGGTAAGCGCGCGTTGGCGGACCGCCCGCCCTGATGGTGGACCGGTGGATCGAGCTCCGCGTGGAACGTGGACTTGTAAAGGGTTGGAGGGGCTGGCGCCGGCTGGCTCCTTTTTAAGGCCAACTTACGGCAGTGTGTCCCGTTTAAGCGCTATTCTATTATAAGGAGCGAGCCAGAAAAATGGATGGTGACTCGAAATTGACATCAGCTACATCAGAGTGGTCGAAGTTGATGAAGCTGGGCGCAAAACGGCCAGTGTGGTGAACGCGCCGCAACATCATCATCATCATCACCAGCATCATCATCAACGCCATCATCATCAACACCATGTCATAGCGTTTTAAGATCACCAATACCGCTTATTGTTTGCAGTAATGTTAAATCCGTCACTGCAACTGAGCACCAAACACACTGTTTGGCTCTAAGCCGTCTGACCGTCGTATGTTTTCGTTCGATGTACCGATGCAGCCAGTCGAGCGCAATGAGTGTTTTCAGAAGCCCTCAGCGTGTCTTCAGAGCACGTGTCTCCCCCGAACGCGAGTGCACCTGACGCCCTGACCCGGCGCGCTCGGCTGCAAAACGCGGCTTTCTGAACGAACGTGGGTGCACGTGACGCCCTGACCCGGCTCGCTGGGCCGCAGAACGCGGCCTTCTACTACACGTGGGTGCACCTGACCGACCGCCGGCCGCACTCGGTGCGGTTCGAGACGCGAGAGTTTGTCGACGTGGGTGGCACCCTGTATGTGGACCTGCAGCTCAACAAGCTGCTGACGGTGAGGGCACCCCGCCGCACTGGCAAGCGGTCAGTCGCTGTCCAATCTTCACCAGCTCGCCATTTGCTACGCTTCCCGCCCACGGCGTTAAGCCTATCCTCACGCTTTCAGTTTCGTGTTGGTATCAGACATATTCAGTATGTGCTTGGTGTTAGTATCAAACGTGTTCAGCATATGCTTGGTGGGAGGCATATGCAACATATGCAGCACCAAGCATGTGTTGAACACGTATCAGGCATGTTCAGCATATGCTTGGTGTTAGTATCAGACATGTTGAGCATATGCCTCGTGTTAGTATCAAACGTGTTCAGCATATGCTTCGCAGCGGTGCGAGGGGCCGTGAATTTCCCTAAACAGCTGGCGCAGCTCAATGCGTCATGACCCTGTCCAGCCTCGGGCGAGCCGTTCTGCTCTGGTATAATTGCTCCCTCGTGCCCTGACCAGGCTGCCTGGCCCGTCCCCAGATCGACTCTGCCCAGGTGGTGAAGGTGGAGTGCTGCCTCCCACCTTGACCACCCCGCCTGGCTCGTCCCCAGAACGACTCTGCCCAGGTGGTGACAGTGGAGTGCTGCCTCTCGGCGCACGTGCTGCCCGTCTCGGCGGCCGGCCGGCTCCGCTGCGAGCCGCCACTGGCCTTCCGACTCAGCTCGGCATCCGAGGCCGAGACGCGCGCCATCCGCCTGCTGCCCTTCCCAGAGCCGGCCGTCTGGTACATCAGCATGGTCACCCGCTGCAGCTCGCGACGGTGAGGGACGCGCCGGCGCGGCGGCGAGAGATACGTCGCGACGGTGAGAGACGCGGCGGTGAGAGATACGTCGCGGCGGTGAGAGACGCGGCGGTGAGAGATGCGTCGACGCGACGGTGAGAGACGCGGCGGTCAGAGATACGTCGCGACGGTGAGAGACGCGGCGGTGAGAGATACGTCGCGGCGGTGAGAGATGCGTCGCGACGGTGAGAGACGCGCCGGCGCGGCGGTGAGGGATGCGTCGTGACGGTGAGAGATGCGTCGACGCGGCGGTGAGAGATGCGTCGCGACGGTGAGAGACGCGCCGGCGCGGCGGTAAAGGATGCGTCGCGATGGTGGGAAACATGCCGGCGCGGCGGCATCCTCGCGATCAAGCAAGGCAGAAACGTGTCGGAGTGAGTACGCCACCGTTGAGGTTGCCATAATTACCACTTGTACTTATCCGGCGGCGTGGCCTCGACCTGTGGTTTTTTACTTGTCTTGGTTATACGTTTCTGACACGGGACGAGTTCATTGCTCGCTGGTGATATGATGTCGGGAAAGGCACAGCCTCGAGCGGCCTCCATTCGTGTCGTGGTATGGCTGACAGTTTGGTAAAACAGACCCACTTTGACAAACTGATGGTTACTCACGCAGAAAATCACTATCCCGAGCGGGCCGGGCTTTTATGTCGTCTGCATTATTTTTTTTTTTTTTTGACGGGAGGGGATGCACCTGATGTGTGCCTCATTGACAGACATACTTTCTATGTAGTCTACTAGATGGCCAGTCAGTACTCGCTGCATCCCGTCGTCGCCATGGCGTGTGACCTTGATGCAGGCTCTAATTTGCCATCGCCGGCTGATACGACGGGGTCGGGCTGTTGAGCTATAACAGGGGCATCGGGTACAACTTCTGCGAAAAGCAGAAGTTGTACCCGCCCGGCACAATGTATATGTATACGCCCGGCAACTGACCGACTACAGCTCCTTTCCAGTGACAGCCTTGGCTCGGTGACGGGTGATGGGCAACGTTCAGAGGCTGGTGGTCGAAAACGGTCTGAGGGAATAAAATGCGAACATTATTGCACCGTAGCATGTAGCACATAGGCGATAAACAAGTTTGCCTATTCTTGTGCTGCTTTTAAAACCAGCTGAAGATGACCCTGACCTGAACAAGCGCTAAAATTTGCATGACATCTACCACCATATTGTCGCCGGCGGGTTCTCCATCTGTGTGTATTTATGCTCCCTTCTACGCAGTTGACGTCTGCTAGCCCTTCTTGGCGGTTAGCCGTTCACCTCGGGGAGCATCAAATAGATGCCGCTCAGATTAGGGAGCCGTTTAAATCAGGCGCTCATCACGGGCATCGAGCATTGTGTTTTAGTTTTGATCACATCGCCGTTTAACTTGCGAGTGGCGCGTTTCGTGTCATCGCCATGTGCGGGAATGGGACTACAGTGTTCGGTACTCGGTGGCTTCCACACAGCCCCGTTTGTGGTGAATGCCTTTTTTCACCGTTGATTCTGGGCGTTGGTCGCCTCTTGACACGCCGCGCATGAGACAGTTTTAAAGCTTATTGGATGATATTCTGCGTTCTAATATTATTGGAACCGTTTTGTTTTGTTTTCTTTTTTTCTTTCTTTTTTTGTTGCTAAAATGACCTATAGCCTATGGTGTCTCTAATCCGGTGTCCCGTCTGTGCAGTTCTGTACATTTCGTCTTCTTGTGCTGTCTTCCCAGTAGCGTGTTTTCTCTACCACGTTGTCGTTGTCATGCTCCCGTTATCGTAATCTTGTATTTTCGTCACCGTGCCGCCAGCTACATGTTCTCTGTAACTTGCTCTCATCCATGCCTTGTTCTCTGTAGTTTATTCTCGTCACCATTTTTACGGCGCTGTATCCTCAGCCGCGTGATTAGGGCTTGTTGCGTTCTCTGTAACTTACTGTCGTCACCGTTTTCCCTGCGTCTTGTTCCATGTTCCGTCTCCTGTGCACGGTGTCCTCTGTGCCATGCTCTCTGTGCTGTGACCTCTGCACCATGTCCTCTGTGCTGTGTCATGTGTGTCATGCCCTATGTGCCGTGTTCTGTATACCGTGCCCTCTGTGCCTATTCTCTGCGCTTTGTTCTCTGTGCCTGTTCTCTGCATTGTGCCCTCTGTGCCGTGTTCTCTGCGCCGTGCTGTCGGTATTATATCCTCCGTGGTGTTGCCTGTGCTGCGCCGTCTTGGTATAATACAGCTTCGTCACGTCACCTGACCACCGTGCCGTCTTCAGGTCGGGCGCCACGCTTCCCTGCGTCCGCTCCAAGTACCTAGTGAACCTGGACGTGCACACGCAGCCGTGTGTGTGGCCGGACGCGCCCTGCGGCCGGCACGGCACCTGCCGCGAGACCCACCGCGGCCAGCACTACTTCACATCCTGCAGCTGCCGGGACGGTACGCGCCCCCCCCCCCCCCCTCCGTCCTGTGGTCCTAACACTGTTGACGCCGCCTTTAGGTCCGTTTAGCCCCGATGAAGAGTCACATGGGCTTAAGTTATGTGAAAATAATAGGAAGTAGTGTATCTGTATATGCTTGCAAGTTGAAAGTGTATTTTGCGAACCCGCTGACACTAAAAGGCGCAGGTTACTGTGAAAGAGACTTCATTTACTGTGGTTTATGAAAAATGGAGGCGCAGTGACAGGCTGGCCGATAAACGCTGCTGGGACTGCAGTGACGACCCCCGTCTCCAGGTCACCGCGACTGGTGTTGCAGTGACAGCTCTGCCCCCAGGCTACCGCGGCTGGGACTGCAGTGGCGACTCACGTCTCGAGGTCACCGCGGCTGGTGTTGCAGTGACAGCTCTGTCCCCAGGTTACCGTAGCTGGGACTGCAGTGACGACTCCCGTCTCGAGGTCACCGCGGCTGGTGTTGCAGTGACAGCTTCTGTCCCCAGGTTACCGTAGCTGGGACTGCAGTGACGACTCCCGTCTCGAGGTCACCGCGACTGGTGTTGCAGTGACAGCTCTGTCCCCAGGTTACCGTAGCTGGGACTGCAGTGACGACTCCCGTCTCGAGGTCACCGCGACTGGTGTTGCAGTGACAGCTTCTGTCCCCAGGTTACCGTAGCTGGGACTGCAGTGACAACTCCCGTCTCCAGGCCACCGCGGCTGGTGTTGCAGTGACAGCTTCTGTCCCCAGGTTACCGTGGCTGGGACTGCAGTGACGACTCCCGTCTCCAGGTCACCGCGGCTGGTGTTGCAGTGACAGCTCTGTCCCCAGGTTACCGTGGCTGGGACTGCAGTGACGCCTCGCACGCTGTGCCCGCCTCCCGCCGCCTGCTGGCCGTCTGCCTGCTGACGCTCAGCAACCTGTGCCTGCTGCCTGCCGTCGGCCTCGCCTGTCGCCGCCGCCTCTTCACACTGGCGCTGGTCTGCGCGGCCGCCATGATCTTCTCCATGTTGTACCACGTGTGCGACCAGCTGGGCGAGCAGGTCCCCGGCTCTCAGTACTGCCTGCTCCCGTTCGAGGTGAGGCAGGTGCCTTCCAGACTGGCTGATGGTTATTGGCAATTGAGCAGAGGGGACTGTTGATGGCTTTCGAAGCCAACTTTCCCTTTCGGTCCGCGCAACGAAAACGTGACGACCGTCTGATTGCTTTGTGGTACCGTGGTGATATCAGCGCATGCTATTGTTTTAGCCGGTGGTTAGACCACGGACATTTGCTCTTGGTTTCGGAATAAGTCTGACGTCTGTGGAGCATGGGTGTCCCGTGTGGGGCCCCACCGCGATTCACAGGATATGAACCGCGATATTACGTTGATCACAGCACTCACGGCGCTAGTTAGTTTTGAATGGCTGCGCAGCGCTGGCTGGTACTGGGCCCGTTCTCGTAGCGCCTGGTCGTGGTTAGGAGACCTTCCCCAGGGTGTGGCGGTGCTGATGATGTAAAACAGGAGATGACCCGACTGCTCCACCCGCTGGTGTATCTGCCGGCAAGATCACGCACCCCGCCGCCATCAGGGGGTCCCCGCACAAGCCGGCCGTGTGTGTCGTCTAGCGTATCAGAGCCACAGACTCCACTCACCATAGCTGCCGTCGGCGCCCGGCAGGCGTTGCAGTTCTGCGACTTCTTCTCATCGATCCTGAGCTGCTGGGTGACGCTCATCAGTCTGGGCGGCCGGGCCGAGGCGCCGCTGCACATGCTGGGCGCGCTGGCCGTGGCCGCCGCCGTGCGCGTGCGGCCCACCGCGCTCTGGGTGTTCGTCGGACCGGCCCTGCTTGCCGCCGCGGTGCCGGTGAGTGGCGCACGGTGGGCCGCCGCCGTGCGCGTGCGGCCCACCGCGCTCTGGGTGTTCGTCGGACCGGCCCTGCTCGCCGCCGCGGTGCCGGTGAGTGGCGCACGGTGGGCTGCCGCCGTGCGCGTGCGGCCCACCGCGCTCTGGGTGTTCGTCGGACCGGCCCTGCTCGCCGCCGCGGTGCCGGTGAGTGGCGCACGGTGGGCCGCCGCCGTCCGCAGTGGGCCAAACGGCGCGCTGTGGGTCAGCCAGCGGCGCGCGGTGATCGACGGTGGGGTTGTTTTGACTGTGACACGATCTGGGGGTGTGGTGGGCCGGTGACACGGCCGATTGTGGTGTCAGGTGTCACTGACACGGCTGCAAGTCATGTCGGCGTCGCTGGTATGGCCGCTGAGGGTGGCAGGCCCCATTTGATGGGCTGGTGGTGGTATCAGGAGACGCCCAAACAGCTGGTAATGCTGCTACTGCCACCATAATCGGCCGCCGGGGGGTTTCGTGGTCATTTAATGCGTTTGGTAGGTGCGTTAAGTTTAACTCACAGAGATATCACAGGTCCACACATGGTGTCATCCGGGGTCATTAACGCGGCTGACGGCAGCAGATATCACAGGTCCACACATGGTGTCATCCGGGGCCACTAACGCGGCTGGCAGCAGCAGATATCACAGGTCCACACATGGTGTCATCCGGGGCCACTAACGCGGCTGGCAGCAGCAGATATCACAGGTCCACACATGGTGTCATCTGGGGTCACTAACACGGCTGACAGCAGCAGACATCACAGGTCCACATTTGATGTCATCCGGTGTCACTGACACGGCTGGCAGCACCACCACATTGGCCAGCGGGCTTAACCCGTTGCACTGGTACCGGGGGTGATCTAACCCGACAGGCGGCCGCCTCGTGGTCATCAACCCCGCTGGCAGCGCATCGGGCCTCGCCGACCCGGCCCGTGGTGGAAGCGTGGTTCACGGCCGGCGGTGCCGGCCGGCCCGGCCCGGATCTGTCGGCGGCGCGGATTATGTGCCCCGGCCGGCCGGCGGCGGTCGCACGACAGAGCGACGGTGGGGCCAGTGACCCGGCGGGCGGGCGGCGTGTTTCCATGAAGGCGGGCTATCGGAGCGACCATCGCCGCCACCGCCGCCGCCGTCTCCAGTCCGGATCAGCGTTGCGGTGGCGTTGCTCGGCGGCCATGACTGCCGGGTTTTACGCACCCCGCCACCGCCGGGACGGGGGTCGGTTGAGCCCACGTGTGTGGCATGTGAGCCCCGGATTACGTCGCCGCAGCGGCGGCTCGTGACACTCCGCCGCGTGGTGCGGCTCGGCGGGCGGAGAGCGTAAGATGCGGAAGCGTGGCGGTGATCCGCAGGCCGTTGAGCCTGTTCAGCTGCTCTGTTCTGCCGCACTGGTGGTGCGTACTCGGCGACGGGACCGTCCCTGTCGGACGAAACCGGTCCCCTGCGCCGGACATCACATTGCCGAGCACAGCTGCCCGATGGTTTCGTACGATAGGGCCGCAGGTTTTTCACTGCGAGAAGTTCAGCAATGAGGTTTTGGGGGCCACGGTAATGCTGGAAACCCATCAGATTGGCCCGCTGTAGCTTGACAGGCTTTTTTTAATGACTCAAAGGTGTTACACTTACAAAGTTACACTACACAAAGATGTAACACTTGTGCAGTCAGTGAGCCCTTGAGATTAATACACATTGAAGGGATGTGTTTGTGGGAGCCGGCGGTCAGCATGAAATAGATCGCTTGGTACTTAGCATGAGGGCGTATGACATGCTCGATGTGTCCGTTAATGGGATGCATGGTGATACCCACTAGTGATCTCAGTGGACAAAAGGGGATCCAACAGAGCCGTGGCCCATTGCGACAAGTTTGTCGCACGAGATGGATAAAAAACGGTCACTTTTTGCATCTATGGTTTTTGTCGAAGGGCATAAGTGTGTTCAGACACATCGTGCATCACTCTTTTCTCCAAGTATAAACATGTTGAGGTGCTTAAGACAAATGATATGTAGCTCACCATTTGTAGTTTGGACGTTTTTAAACGCTGGTCATAAAAAAATGTTTGTCATAAAGTCGTGGCCGCTTTCCATTGATTTGCATCCGATCTGCGCATCACTTGTAGATATGATTAGACACATGATATGTTGCTTTTTGCTGCCCCACGCGAACTTGCCGACCATTATTTGCTTGCTGCCGCCATCCTCGCGTGTTTTGTGTCGGATTAGTATACCAGAACAGGAGAGCGTTTGCATGAAGATCTGTCGATTGCATTGTCAGGTCATGATGGTCTGGATGGGGGAGGCTGGCAGCGCCTCGCACGAATCCAGGTTCCCGAGAGCCGCACAGCAATGGGGTTAATGCGGGGACTCGAGGGCGCATTGATTTTCGCGTCACGCGACGTCGGTCCGTGCTTTGCTGTATGGTCACCATGTGCAGAGCTACGGGGGCCGTCAACAGACAGCCCCCTGCATTCACTTAGATTTGACATGACCGTCCCGTCTCAAAGCTGGGCGTCGTGTTCCTGCGCTGTGACCTTACCTGACCTGACCCGCCGCCCTAAGCTGGGGTATACTCCCTGCGCTGTGACCTCACCTGACCTGACCCGCCGCCCTCAGCTGGGGTATGCTCCCTGCGCTGTGACCTTACCTGACCTGACCCGCCGCCCTAAGCTGGGGTATACTCCCTGCGCTGTGACCTCACCTGACCTGACCCGCCGCCCTCAGCTGGGGGTGTACTCCCTGCGGTGTGACCTTACCTGACCTGACCCGCCGCCCTCAGCTGGGGGTGTACTCCCTGCGGTGTGACCTTACCTGACCTGACCCGCCGCCCTCAGCTGGGCGTCTTGTCCCTGCGCTGTGACCTTACCTGACCTGACCCGCCGCCCTCAGCTGGGCGTCTTGTCCCTGCGCTGTGACCTTACCTGACCTGACCCGCCGCCCTCAGCTGGGGGTGTACTCCCTGCGCTGTGACCTTACCTGACCTGACCCGCCGCCCTCAGGTGGGGTGTACTCCCTGCGCTGTGACCTTATCTGACCTGACCCGCCGCCCTCAGCTGGGGGTGTACTCCCTGCGCTGTGACCTTACCTGACCTGACCCGCCGCCCTCAGCTGGGGGTGTACCCCCTGTGCTGTGACCTGACCTGACCTGACCCGCCGCCCTCAGATGGGGGTGTACTCCCTGCGCTGTGACCTTACCTGACCTGACCCGCCGCCCTCAGTTGGGGGTGTACTCCCTGCGCTGTGACCTTACCTGACCTGACCCGCCGCCCTCAGCTGGGGGTGTACTCCCTGCGCTGTGACCTTACCTGACCTGACCCGCCGCCCTCAGCTGGGGGTGTACTCCCTGCGCTGTTACCGCGCCGGCCGGCTGCTGCGCCCGCCGCTGCCCTGGCTGCTGTACCGCCTGCTGCCGGGTCTGGCGCTGGCGCTGGTCGGCGTCGTTCTCTTCACCTGGTTCGAGACGGACGGCAACTACCCGGTATGTGACGGCGTTGACGGACGTCAACTACCCGGAAGGGGGGGGGGGGGGCTGCCGGCCGGCTCGGCTCGGAAACTTATCAGCACTGTCTTCTGAACTGTGTTGCTTGAGTGTTATTCGTGTTGTGATGGCCATGGTCAAGGAAATGCCCGGGGGCTGCTGAAGTGTTTGCTCAGCCGGTTTCGTGTTCTCTGTGTCAGTGCATCGCAGTCCAGCTGCTGTGCTGAAGTGTTAGCTCAGCCGGTTTCGTATTCTCTGCGTCAGTGCATCGCAGTCCAGCTGCTCTGCTGAAGTGTTAGCTCAGCCGGTTTCGTATTCTCTGTGTCAGTGCATCGCAGTCCAGCTACTTGATGGTGATGTTTGGCGCTGACCCGTGTACTGTCACGTGATGTCCATGCGCGGGTGCGGTCACCCATGAGGCTGGTTGTTTTATTTGAATTTTCAGGCCAGCTTGAAACGGCCCGTCTTGCTGTAGAATCTGTGACTTGCTGTCGTCTGTCTGCCGCTTACTCTTGGCTGCACCATGCACGGTCTGTGATGGTGCCCTCTGTTGCTCGCGTTCCAGTGACGGTCCCCTCTGTTTCCCGTCTCCCAGTATACACACATACAGTCTGTGTGACATTCCCCTCTATTCCCCGTGTTTCAATACATGCACAGCCTGTGTGGCCGTCCCTCTGTTCACCGTGTGCCAGTACATGTATAGTCCGCATGAAGGTCCCCTCTGCTACCCGCGTTCCAGTATACGCACAGTCTGTGTGACAGTCCTCTCTATTCCCCGTGTTGCAGTACACGCACAGTCTGTGGCACGCGTCGCTGGCGCTGGCGCTGTTCCTGCTGATGCCGAGCGGCCCTGCACGGGCCCGGCGCGCCAGTGACCAGCGCCACCTGGTGCTGGACGAGCTGCCGCCGGCCGCCGAGTCGCCCACCTTCTGCCGCCGCGAGCTGGCCGACGAGGCGGCGGCTGTGGTGCTCGGCTGCCGTGAGGACGGCCCCAGAGTAGGGGTGGAGCGCGGCCGCCGGCAGACCGAGCCTGCCGGCTGAGGGCAGGGTGGGTCAGGGGGCACACTGGTGGAGACGTGGGATGGAGTGTACGCCGTGTCGGCTTCAGGGCATGGTGACCATGTGTCGTCGGTCGGTTCGAACTGCGGGTGTGTCGGATCAGAGATAGGCGAGTGGCCGGACCGCGAGTCGGCTACAGACATCGGCGATCAATTTCTGGTTGTGATAGAGCGTGGTCATCGGCCGTCAGCTGGTGTGTATCTCGTATCACCTCCCTGCTTCCGCCGCGCCGCTGGTGTTATCGCGAATTGCAGAGTGTTGTTCCGTCCGCGCTGTCTTCTGCTCTTCCGTGTCGTGCTTCTGATGTGGCGGGTGATCTGTGGATGTGGTGCTGCTGGCCTGCTCACTCCTGCTCCAACGTCGGTCCCCGGAGTCGCGGTTGTTTGTTGAAGTGCTATGCCCCGGTTGTTTGTTGAAATGGAACGTTCGCTTCAGGGTTGTGCCCACCGTAGCCGCACGTGTGAGTCGGGAGCCAGGGGACGCGACTTGTATTCGACTGCGATAGGGTCGTTTGCTAGTGAGGTGTGTGCTGGCTTGTTCCGTCTCCGGTGACGTTCCAAGTGAATGTTATTCCTTCCTCATGATGTTGGCTATGACTTAGGCGTGGTCGTGCCGCGACGCGGTCCCGCTTCCACCGCCGCCTTGTAGCTCAGGACCATCACATGACCTCGCCTGTTGACAGGAGTTGTTCTATCATCACTGTCACGCTAGTGTTTATCACGTCCATGTGCCTAGCGTATCATCGTGCATTCCAGTTAACCTGCTTTGTTTAGCGCCATAGTCTTGCCTAGACTGGCTGTGGCGTGGAGTCACGACGCCTCCGCTATTCCGACCTTTCTCCCGAGTGATCAGCCGCCGGATAGTGCTGGCATTGGCTCCGCGTGCATCAGTCGGCTTGTCTGCCTAAGCCGGCCGGTCGGTCGGTTTGTTTGGTCTGTTGCTGGGCGAGCTTTCCTCTGTTCTCCGTACTGAGTCGGTCTCTCCTCTGATGGGATTTGGCTGACCGGCTGTATTGGGAAGGTTCAGCCCGCCTGCCGACCATGTTCTGCCGGCTGATCAGGTGTGGGGGGGGGGGGGGGGGCTAGGCGCTGGGCGATGATTGGTTCGTGCAGTCGTCTGCCTATCTCCAGGGGCGGTTTTAGTGCAGCCGCATTGACGCCTGTCTCCTGGACGTTTTGTGCTGCATGCGATACGTTTTTGAGCTCGTACTTCTCGCTGCGGTCTGAGGTATTCGGTGTGATGCTTTGGACTCTGCCCTCCCCCCTCCCCCTCCCCTCCCCTCCCCCTGCCCCTCCCCCTCCCCCTCCCCGTTACGAAATCTTACGTAAACGGGCTTTCCGCCTAGCCCTCTGACCGAATTCTTTCCGTGACTTCGTCGTTCTGTGGCGGATCCAACTGTCCGCGACCGCCGTCCTCGGCCCGACCGCTGCATCCGACCGCGGCCGCAGGCTCGGCATTTCTGTGGACAGGCCAAAGGGGACCTTGACCCCTCACGTTCTTCGCTGGAGGCATCGGCATTCTTGGCGCGTTCCTCGCGTGCATAGGCCTTTAAGACGCGCCATAGCTAGATGGTTCTCCCTGTTAGATTAGGACTGGACGTTATTATAAGCGCACCGCCGACCATTGTTGAATCCGTTGGATCACGGAGAGTGCGAAGTCTCTGAACGTTTGTGCACACACGTGTTAGTGCAGCTTTCCACAGGTCCTGACGGGTGCGGCGACGCCCGATGGCTCGAAACTGGGTGCGCCCCCTTTCTTGGACTATGGCGGCCCGCCGGGGTCAGCGTGGAAAGCTCCGCCGGAGTTTTGTGCCGGGCGGAGGTATTGTTTGTTGCCCCCGTGCTACAGATGGGTATATATATATATATATATATATATATATATATATATATATATATATATATATACATATATATATATATATATATATATATATATATGTCCCAAGTGCTGGTCTCTGTTTGCCTTCGTGCATTTGAGCAGTGGTTGTACGCACGTAGCTTCGTGGTACCTCATTGTGTTAGCATGGTGCTGAATAGACAACTGTTGCGAATACGAAGGGGCAGCTTGCAGGAGTGAACCATCTGTGGTGTTTTGTACTCTGTTCGCAGCGGACTTAATCGTCTGAGGGGGCCGCTGCAGCCCTAGTACAATTTGCTGCATGCATTAGGCATAACCATTAAACAGTATTGCTGTTTTGGCTGTCATTTGATGTGGGACGAATCCATGTGTTCAGTGGTGTTGTAAACCCTCGCCATTCGACCATGACATACTCAAGGCCGCTTGTCATTCGTGATGTCGCTAACACGCCTCTTGAATCTCGCCGTATCGCCGCGGACGGCTGCGCGACGTCCGTGGTGCACGCGATCTCTGGGATCAGATGATGCGCATTGGTAATGGTTGTCCGGCCTCGGCCACCACGGCTGAATGGGCGCCGAGCGTCACAGCTGAGAGCGTGGGCTTCGGGCGGCGCCGCTCCTGCAGCTGCCGGCTCCTCGACACGACCCTTCCCGGCCCTCAGCCCCCAGCTGGCGCCTGCGCAGGCCGCCTGTCCCGGCGCCTCTGCAGCCGCCGCCTGCGAGATCGTATCGCGGTGGGAAGGAGGTGCGCGTGGTGAGACCGCGGTGTCGTGCTCGTCGCCGGCGGGGCGCGTCAGGCGCGCTGACGGGTGTCGTGTTGGTCGCGCTGAGGATGATGTCAATGTCAAACCAGCGGCGGCGTCGAGGGAGAAGGCTTAACCTATTGTCTTTGAGCTTGGTCCGGGACCCAGTCCGATCGGAGTTAACAATCTGCGTGCGTGTTCACTTTTACTTGCATTGTCTTTTGCATAATTTTGTATGCTGTTCTAGCACGTTTTGAAACAAATATATACGCTGTTGCAAAACTATGGCGTGTGTTTCCGTACTTTGGTGCTCCCATTACCTTTCCTTCATAGCTTCGTAATGTAGTTTTGCTTTCTCTAGACGACCTGCCGCCAGCACAAACAGAACAGGAGCGCATGCTCGGCTCCGTTGAGCACAAAGAGTGTGTTTCTCCAAGCCGTTGCCCGCGCCTCTTCTCCGACCTCCGCTAGGGCTGTCGGCGCTCGTCTGATCGTTGGCCGAAGCCTCGGTCGTGTTGTGCGGCCCGTGGTCCTGTAATCTGCCCCCTGCCGTGCCTGCCATTGGCTTGGCCCACCCTGATCACACATCATATCAAAAGTCCGGGAACGCGCCCAATCACAGAGCGCTGTTCGTGACTGTTCAGCCATCGCGTGAACGGAGATGACTCGGAACACGCGTATCTAAGTGGTGTTTTACACCAACGAAGCGTGGATTGTTGCCAATCGCGCATCACAAATGGAAAAAGTGTCGGCATTCTTTGCGATCGCATCAGCGCTATGTGGCGCTGTATGCACGTGCTGGCGAATGGACGGACGGGCACCGATGGACCAAAGGCCGGGCGCGCGGGGATGAAGCCAGCCGGCAGGTATCGGCCAGAAGTGAGTGGGAGGCTGCTCTTGCGTGCCGTCGCGGAAGGAAAACGTTCAGCGCTGCAGTGGTGGGTGCGGCCGTGACCTGCATGTTGATCGCGCCGAGAAGTGGGGTAACATTGCATTTGCATTTGAGAGCCAACTCGGCCTTATCGCGGTAGACTTTGCATTAAATCATAATTAGATGTTGGTCATTTGCGAAAGGATGTGGCCGACGACCTTCGCAATGGAAGGAAATGTCTGATGTTCTCCAGATGCCTCCTGATGTTCTCCAGAGCCAGGGAAACACCCTTGACCGCCTCCAGACCAAGGGAGACGGCCCGAACGGTCCCAGACCGGGGGAGAGGGTCCAGACGGTCTCCAGACAGAGGAAAACGGCCCGGACGGTCTCCAGACCGAGGGGAACGGACCTGGCAGTTTCCAGCCGAAGGAAAATGGCCCTAACCGTCTCCGGACCAAGGGAAACATGCCTGCCGTCGCAGACCAAGGAAGACGGCCTAGTCTCCAGACCTAGGAAAACATCCCTAATAGTCTTCAGACCGAGGGAAAAGGCCCGGATAGTCTCCAGACTCAGCCAGCTGTGTTGGGCTCAACAGAAGACCATCCTTGGTTGCCAAGTCCAGTTACACATGTCAGTTATCGGCGTCATTTTATTATCGTCTGGTCGGCGCAGCTGGATCAGAACCGACCTGGTCGTTGCCGCACGGCTCTGAAGATCCACGCGCTCTCGAAGGCGGCGCGGCGCGCCTTGCCTTGTCCGCCGCTCGCTACGCAGCCCGCATTCCAACGCTGCACGCAGCCATCGGAATCTGGCCCGCTCATGCCTGTTGCGCAACGATTGGGCGCGGGCCGGCCTGATCGGTGCCGCCGGAGTCCCGGTGTGGAGGTCCGTCACGGTACGGTCACCGCCGGAGGCCCGGTGTGGAGGCCCGTCACGGAACGGTCACCGCCGGAGTCCCGGTGTGGAGGCCAGTCACGCTACGGTCACCGCCGGAGGCCCGGTGTGGAGGCCCGTCACGGAACGGTCACCGCCGGAGGCCCGGTGTGGAGGCCCGTCACGGTACGGTCACCGCCGGAGGCCCGGTGTGGAGGCCCGTCACGGAACGGTCACCGCCGGAGTCCCAGTGTGGAGGCCCGTCACGGTACGGTCACTGCCGGAGGCTCGGTGTGGAGGCCCGTCCTGTGTACGGACCACGAGGCCGGGCGGGCTGACCCCGGCACCGTCAGGCCACCGCCGCAGGTCTGGCGTTCGGGGCAGAGCGCGTGGAGAGCTCCGTCCACAGCGCGGGGAGAACTTCGTCCACAGCGCGGGGAGAGGTCCGTCGCTAGTGCGGAGAGAGGTTCGACCATAGCGCAAGGAGAGGTCCGTCCACAGCGCGGGGAGAGCTCCGTCCACAGCGCGGGGAGACCTCCGTCCACAGCGCGGGGAGAGATCCGTCCACAGCGCAGGGAGAGCTCCGTCCACAGCGCGGGGAGACCTCCGTCCACAGCGCGTGGAGAGGTCCGTCCACAGCGCAGGGAGAGCTCCGTCCACAGCGCGGGGAGACCTCCGTCCACAGCGCGGGGAGACCTCCGTCCACAGTGCATAGAGAGGTCCGTCCACAGCGCAGGGAGTGCTCCGTCCACAGCGCGGGGAGAACTCCGTCTACAGCGTGGGGAGAGATCCGTCCACAACGCGTGGAGAGGTCTGTCCACAGCGCAGGGAGTGCTCTGTCCACAGCGCGTGGAGAGGTCCGTCCACAGCGCGGGAGAACTCGGTCCACAGCGCGGGGAGAGATCCGTCCACAGCGCGCGGAGAGGTCCGTCCACAGCGCAGGGTGTGCTCCGTCCACAGCGCGGGGAGAACTCCGTCTACAGCGCGGGAGAGCGCCGTTCACAGCGCGGGGAGAACTCCGTCCACAGCGCGGGAAGAACTCCGTCCACAGTGCGGGAGAGCGCCGTTCACAGCGCGGGGCGAACTCCGTCCACAGCGCGGGAAGAACTCCGTCCACAGCGCGGGAGAGCGCCGTCCACCGTGTGGGGAAAGCTCCGTCCACAGCGCGGGAAGAGCTCCGCCCACAGCGCGGGAGAGCGCTGTCCACAGCGCGGGAGATCGCCGTCCACAGCGCCGCTGAGACGTGACGACATCGGGCGGGATAGATCTGCAGTCAGCAACTCACCGCTCAGTATCGGAGAGGGAAAGTGCCAAGTCAAGTGCAGGATCGCGTGCTCCTGCAGCTCTTGTGTTTCTCACGTGAGCGTTGGTTGTGCTTATGATGGGCTTATGTATGCGTCGCGCATATAAACAGCGAGGTAGGGCTCTTGAGGCTATTGCAGGCGAGTATGTCTCTGCTTGTAGACTGCTTTCACAATGCCCCCGCATGTTCGAGATTTATGGATGACTTTATTTAGAGCCCCTTCTCCTTTGTGGGGAGAAACAACTTGAAGCAAATTTAAGATTTTAGTCAGATATGCCAATTTTGAGTAAAAGAAGTCCTCCTTAATGATTGCTTTGATTGACAAGCGTTGTGGCTGTTGATGACACAAGCATTTATGTAATATGTGCCCCACCTTCAATTTGGAATGCCTTATGGCAGAAAGTGTCAGCAGCTTACCTTCGGCCTGAAAATCCTGGAACCTTAAATAACTGAACCTTCTTATCCGAACAACGTCTTTAAACAGAATCCAGGGACAACTAAGGTGGGAAACGTTAGACGTCTGGAGGGCTGGACGCGACAAACAGAACGAAAGTCATGCGTGCAGACGAAGCCCGCTGGCGCGACAACGTCGGGAAGTGCCCCAGACGAACGACGGTGACCTGGTGCCAGGACCCCCGGGTACTCAGAGGCTCGTGGAGTCACGGCGTGGGTACGGAGGGCTGCGGCCGGCCAGCCAGCGGGACGCCCCAGCTCGGTGGTGTGATGGAACGCTCGTGCTACAACCGGAGGGAAGTGGGGTCAAGACGCGCTGCTGGCTGTGTTCCGGCGTCATCCTCTGTAATCAGGGTAAACGTTCGTGACGTTTAGGGTGACAGCAGTTGCATGGCTCGCAAAGGAGCCCCACAACTGTCAAACCAGTTCTCTGTCGGCATCTGGCAGCCCCAGCGGTCACGTGCAGCCAGGTGGGCTCGGCATCTGGCAACCCCAGCGGTTACCTGCAGCCAGGTGGGCTCGGCATCTGGTAACCCCAGCGGTCACCTGCAGCCAGGTGGGCTCGGCATCTGGCAACCCCAGCGGTCACCTGCAGCCAGGTGGGCTCGGCATCTGGCAACCCCAGCGGTCACCTGCAGCCAGGTGGGCTCGGCGAAGAGCGCCAGCTGGGCCGGCCACATCACCTCATGTGGCACGCCACCCCGGTTGTCCAACAGACTCGTGCTCAATGCCGGGCCTGGTTCTGCACGCGGGTGCGTTCGTGCGCGCTGATGAAGGAGTGGTTTGTCATGGCGGAGTTCCCGAGATGACGTGGTGGACCGGGAGTCGGGCCGCGCCCGCGCCAGCGACAGGTCATCGTGTCTGTGTCCTATATGACTGACTGCTTTCTAGTGCTCCGAGCTGGCAACCCCTTGTGGTTGCTTAACGCTTATCTGATTGTCATTGACCGTGACGATACCCCGCTCCTTAAAAACGAAATAATGCGCCGATTGTCTAGGTGGGATTTGTGCCCACTGAGTGATTTTTGCCGCGGCTTTTTGTCTTTCTTTACATGCTGGTAGATCTTATCAACCTTGCAGTCCATTGTCCAACTATAAATAAAAATAGACGTGCCATTTAACCCACACGCTTTTATACATTCCGTTCCGCACGGTTTCAGGTGAAGGTTTATGCGGCAGAGGCTATGCGACCACAGCATGGGTGCGCTTGCGCCGTTTGTGGTAGTGGAGTGTAGCTCTCACCAAATACTGTTAGGTCTGTCATTGGTAAGACGCATACAAATGCTGGCCGGCACTGTCCGTTTGACACATCATGCTTATAGCACTTTTTGATTCGGTCAGCGCGTCTCTTGGCAAGTGCTCTCTGGCGCACGTTTTCCCGTCATCCGCGAGCTCTAACAGATGCCTGGCACTCACCTCCAACGTCTCTGTCATTCAACGTTCTACCACGTCGTAACGCTAATAAATTTATTGCTGAACATGCAAAGAACAACAACAGGCCGTCCGCCGGCTGTTGGTCGGCGGCTGTCCTGGCCAGCGGGACCGGCCGCGCTGCGCCTTTGTACTGGGGCAGGCGCCGGCCGGCCGGCGGGCGCACGCGGCGCGCCGGGGCCGGCCGGCGTCCCCAGGACAGCCGGGTCGAGTCCGGCGCGGGGCAGGCGGCGAGCCGTCCGGTCGCGTCTCTCGCTCCTCCACTCGAATGCCCTCGTTTGGCTAGTACACGCTGACCCCCACCGCCAGACCAGCTCACGCCCGCGCTTGTGTCCGGTCCGCCCGGCCCGGTCCGCCCGGCGGCGGCGGCGGACCGCGGCGGACCGCATCAGTGAGCCGGCGCCCCCGCTCCTGCCGCCAGCGGGCCGCTGCCGCCCCCCGCCGGGAGAGCGGCGCCGGCCGGCTCGGCGACGGGACGGGCACGGCACGTGCGCCGGCCGACGGGCTGTTCGCGAACGAACGGTCTGTCTGGGAGCACGCGCGCCGCTGCCGTGGCGACGGTCGGCCGCCGGCGCTGGCTACCGAGGCGGTCCACCGCCGAATTCCGGACAGACGGACAGGAGGAGGCCACAGTCTTGTCGCCGTGCGCGACGCTATCGGCTAGCTACCTAGACCACTTACAAAGAGTTCGCACCGTGCGCGGCTCGTTACACGCACGCACGCTCACGATCGGCCATCCACCGTCGAGAAATGCCCCGGCTGAAGTCCCTCTCGCTGTACCGCGGCCGCCCCGACGCGGCTGGCAGCCGCTCACAACCCGCGAGACGTTTGGTATGATCCGGCAGACGCCCAGCACGCGCCGCCGGCACTCGCACAGCTCGCATTCGACACACGCGCGCGCGCGCACCCTACAACAGGTCACTAGTCGCCACCCGCGCCACTCAGACAATGCCTCGAACGGTGCTGTACAGACTGCGAGCTACCTCGCCAGGTAAATAGATATAAAACAGCCAGTTATGTGCAAATATTGCCGCCGCTCCACGTGCTGCACGCAGCCGCCCGCTCCCGCTGGGAGCGGCGCTGTCATGGTCCAGTCACTCACGCTACAGGGGCGCTGCCCGCTGAGCCGGGCTGCCGGCCGGAGCGCGCACACCAGCGCCCCTGGCGGCCACGGCCGCAGTTACGATCGCGCTTGCAGCAGCATCGAGGCGAAATTGCTGTGGAACTTAAAGTGCCGCTTGTCGTAGAACTTGAGCAGCGCAGGGCTGTTGGGGTGGTTGTCCTTGAGGTGGAAGTAGTGCGCCTCAGGCTCGATGGTGGTGTTGCCGCACTCCTCGCACACGTAGACTTTGTTGCGCCGCTCCTTGTAGTTGTACTGGTGCTGTACGCCGTGCACCTTCAGGCAGTGCGACTCGAGCGAGCAGCGCTGCGTGAACGACTTCTCGCACATGACGCACCGGTAGGGCCGTACACCTGCGGAGGAACGGAACATTAGCTACACATAACCCTGCCCGGCGATCGCGGCGTGGCTTGTGCTTGTCGTGGGCCGCATCGACAAAACCCGTGTGAATTTTCTCACGGTGGTATTACGTGTGGCGTCTCTGTGGAGACGTATGTTCGTAGTGGGGCCGCACATAGCTTTGCTGCAGTCACCCCTGAAAACCTATATCTCCTCCCACTCTTCGCTACCCGCTGACTGCGCTGGTGCGCCAGTTATGGGTCCATATATATATATATATATATATATATATATATATATATATATATATATATATATATATATATATATATATAATATAAACATTTAGCAATGGCATAGCAGGGTGCAGACGAGTTTGTACATGTCATCAATATACGAATTCTATGACCTCATCGCACAGGCCATCTGTTCTGCAGAGGTACAGAAGTTAGCTGTGATCCCTCACGGGTGTCTGCAGTAACACCGAAAAAGTTCCTGTGCACGTCATACATAGCGCAAACCATGGGAAAGACTACGTCAAAGGGGGCCCAGCAGCCTGGAAAGACCGTGCAAACCAGCAAAAAGCTGCAACTGCTTCTGCGGCGGCGTGACTCAGCGTCGCAGCCGCCGGGCGCTGCCAAATAAGGTGCTCGCCCTGTCTGGACCCCGGGTATTTGGCCACACCTCCGGATGTTCGGCTGGGCTGTCGGGGGGCGGGGGGGGGGGCTGCCGGTCGGGCGCGCCACGTACCGGTGTGGGTGCGAGTGTGCCTCTTCAGGTCGAAGGTGTCGTTGAAGCCCTTGCCGCAGAAGGTGCAGAGGTAGCGCTTGACGTCCGAGTGGCACTTCATGTGCCGGTTCAGCAGCCGCTGCAGAGTGAACTTCTTGGAGCAGAGGCGGCACATGTAGGTCTTGGGGTCGTCCTCGACAACTGGAGGAGGCGAAGCCGCCCGTCAGTACGCGTTTACCATGGAGCAGCGAGATTTATGCAATTATTTACAGATCCCAAGAACTATCATGTAACACAGGAAAGACATGCATTGGAAACTCAACAGCTTTGTCATTAGGGAAAAAGTATGGGAAGTCAAGTGCGGACTGGCCATGGGACACTTAAAGCCCTTCGCGAAGACATGTAAGTGATTTCAAGGAGCAGACCGTTGTCTGTCATGTCGACAGGGCTTTAAGCTGATGGCGATCGTTCTCTTTCAGCTCAAATCTGCCACTCTCATATCGTGGCAGGGAATACGCGTGTTGAGCAGTGAGTGCTTTCGGCGATGGTGATGTCCATACGGCCAGCATATGGACAGCGTGGGATGGCTGTGCCAAGCTATTGGAGTGGGATCGCTATACTAAGCTATCGCCAAACTGAATTATCCTCGAGATATCGGTCGAGCCCTGATGGCCTCCGGCGGGTTTTACCCGAACATCGAAGTTTACCAAACACTGGGATGAATAACGCATGCGCTAAGCCTCGAGGCAGACGCCGAAAAGGCTGCTTCCACAACCCCTGTGCGGACCCCAGAGCCCCTCCGGCCCTCGAGCCCAGGTCCGTTATGCCAGACGTACTAGGTACGCCGTTCTCATTCACGGAGTATGCTTCCACGGCGTCGTCACAGTTGGCCGCGCGGCCGGCGCGGAAGCTCCGCTTCGTCTCGGTAATTACCTCCAGGAAGCAGCGCCACTCTGGGTCTTTCGCGTTCATTCACCCGGCGACCGCAGCGCCATCTGTCGACCAAATCGAAGTCGTGGTACTCACTGATAGGTGGCAGCTTCTCCACTTCCAGGTCTCGCTCGTTGATCAGCGGGTTCTTGATGCCGTGTCCGCCGTTCACGAACTCGAAGCTATGCGAATCTGGCAGTCCCATCTGCAGAAACAAGAAATCGTGTGGTTTACTGTGTGCCTTTCTCTATATGTATGAACTGGCGCCAATGACGTGGAAGGACATCGCCTGGTACAGACGCCACTTTCCGCACACATTTTGGGCGAATTATACCTGTGCAAGAAGAGAGCAGATGGCTTTGCAGATAAGCCTCAGCGGCAATGTCTGCGTGAGCGGCTGATATGCCGATCAGGCCGGCTCTGGGGCGGGCGACGATAACAAGACTGTTGTTCCGCAACACACGCGATACAGAAGGCTTCGACGAGTTAAGTTCCTTTGACGGCGGTCAGAACATATCAGAATGTTCAGTTGGGGCAAAGTGAAAACCAGAGCGGCATAATGCTGATGGCCATTTCAGGTAAATGGTGTTTGGGTGAAACAGACGGGACAGCTGGCCTAAGCGTCGTTACTCCGTCAAGCAACTTCACTGGTGGGGACTTCACCCTGATCTGGCTCATGAATACGTTTGAATCGTTGCAAGATATCTTTGAACCAGGCACCAACAGCATTCATTTGCTAGCGCATTCGTAGATATTCGCTCCACCGTACAAAATCAAGCGTAAATGTTGCGTTACAATACCTGCCACTCCATCAGCCCGTACCGTGTCCAGCTGAGCGTCAAGTCATTGTCCTCACCACAAAAGTTTGCGGCTCAGCCGTTCTAAGGAACTTACCAGTGCACGGATTGCGGTCAAACCCAGGCCTTTCTGCTTAAAACTGGGGATGTTTTGCAGCCTAATCGGCTGCGATCTGCAGGCCCCGTCACGCTCCCCGTACGTTACGTCCAACTAAGCGCAGCAAAAATGTCTAACAACCCGGCCAAAGCCGCCCTCGCAGACGGGCTGAGAGGCGGGCAGGGGGTGGACCGCCGATAAAATCTCAGTCTCAGATGGCATTCTTGCCTCACACTGTGTCAGAATGGGATGTCAACTATTGAGGCCAGCTTGGCATCACGACGGGGGCCCATGTTACGGGTGATAGAGGTTGGCGATACCAGCCTGTCTATGTCAGATCAATAACTTAGACAGCAGTTTCGCTGAGATCCTGATAGTCTATGGAAAATTTTGTTTCTTTCTTAAGGAAATTTGGTCGTATTTCCCTGCGTCGCAGCCTCCGTTACGTAACATTCCACTTCCACACACTGACCTATGCGAAGCTGAAAACTGTATGCTGCTATGACCAAGACTCTTTACCCGGAGCAATTCACAGGCCTAGCCTGGACCCCAGAAACGTCAGATGCGGTCCCTAAATATCTGGGCAGCTGCAAGTGTTTCTGACATTTAGTTTTACGACGTAGCACTGGGCATCGCTGCATCTTGGTCCATCCTACCGAGGAACGATCCGTGTCGAGATGAGACAAAGCTGTCACCCTCGGCAGAAGCCGGTTGAGCCACGGCACTGTTTCAAGACCCGATGACACTCCACTGACGGTTAGGCATCGGTCCGGTGATCAACGGATGTTGTTAGAGAGAGCTTCAGGTTCTCTGCGCATTTACTGTACATTTTGAAGCATGCCATTGCATAAGCATCGCTGCGTTGCATCGCGCCTTTGTAATGCCCTTGTTTTCTTGTTTCCAAGCCGATTCCGAAGTTCGATCGATAATACTCAAGACAAGAGATCGGAGAGTCACGATATTTGTTCTCAATGCTCCAGCGGAATTTCCCAGCTGGCATGCACCGCCCGCGAGCGCCGGCGGTGATCTCTTTCCCATCCAGCCGCGCCGTACTGAACCGCAGCCCCTCTCCCCTAGACACACACACACCGTCACCTCCAGCGCGCACTCACCCGCTGCTGCAGTATGCTGACGCGGATGTCGAGCGCAGGCATGCCCTCGGCCATCTGGTCGCCGCTGGACGACCCGGGCGAGGTGGGCGAGCACCGGCCGCCGTGCGTCGCCGGCGAGGCGGGCGACAGCTGCGCAGTCGACGACTCGGGCTGCTGCGCCGGCTGCACGGCCAGCTGCGGCTGCGGCGGCGCCGCGCCGCCGTGCGGCCCCGTCACCAGGAACTTGCCGTCGTACACGGCGTCGGCCAGGCAGGACGACACGACCGGCTCGGAGAGCGCCGGCAGCGCAGTCGCCTCGCCGAGCGCGTCGACGACCGTCTGGTGCGAGAGCTCCGCCTGCGGGCCGCCGGCGGCCGCCGTGCCCGTCGGCTGCAGCAGCTGCTCCAGCCCGAACAGGTCGTGGCTGTCGGTGAGCAGGCCGCCGCCGGCGCTTACCGTCGGCTTCGTGTCGGCGAACAGCTCGATGTCCAGCTCGTACGGGTCGGCGAAGTTGAACGGCTCGGTGCCGCCGAAGCCGAACGGTAGCGGCGCGTGGCGCGGCAGCGGCCCGCTGGTTGAGTGCACGCTCCACGACTGCGCTGGCGGCGGCTGCGGCGGCGGCTTGCACCCTTCCACCTGTAGGTCGATGTAGCCACCTAGGTAGGTGTCCATGTCGGCCGACTGCAGCGTCTGGTACTGCTTCGGTGAGTGGCGGCCGCTCTCGTACGTGTCATCCGGTTGCTCCGTCTTGCAGCCTAGCAGGCCCACATTGAAGCCGCCGCCGCCCGTGTTGAAGTGCATACCGCTGCCGTTGGAGTTGCGATTGTTCATGTTGTTACCCGGCGAGCCCTGCTCGCCTGGACCGCCGCCGCCGCCGCCGCCGCCCCCGCCCCCTCCCCCGCCGCCGCCGGAGCGATAGGGCGACCCGGGCGTCGGTGAGAGCGGATTGTTGCCCGACCCTAGTGGCGTCTGCATCGGCGCCAGGCCATTGCGCGGCACGCGGAGGTTCATCGGCCTCTTCTTCGGCGGCGGCGAGTCGATGTGGACACGCGCACTGACCAGGTCGCGGCGGTAGAAGGGCCGCTTCTTCGGTACGGTCGGCGTGTGCGTGATGACCGAGTGGCGCGCGTGCGCCGGCGGCGCCAGCGACGGGAAGCAGCTGATGGGGTGCGCGCCTACCGACAGGTCGATGGCGCGGCTCGGCTCGGTCGGCGCCGGCGGCGGCGCCGGCTCCTCGGTGTGCCGCGCCGCCGCCCGCTCCGGCTCGGCCTCGCGCTCGGCCGGCGCGCGCACGAGCGGCTCGTCCTCGTCCGGCTCGTCGTGCACGCGCGCCTCCTGCAGGCGCCGGCTGACGGCCTCGACATTCTCGGCCTGGCGGCGCCGCTGCTGCTCCTGCAGCGAACGTGACGCGGACGGCCGCATCCATTCCAGCTTCAGCGCCCAGTCGAAGGCGGAGCCAGCAGCACTGGAGGCGTCTGCGGTAGAGAAGCGGCGAGTTAGGGGGGCTGTGGGGGGGGGGAGCTGGGGCGTAGCCCCGGCAGCAGCACCGCCAGGTCGTGAAGAGGGCGCCGCAGTGCCCCTTGACGGCTGACGAGGTTTGCAGCCTCGCTTTCGAACGCCTGTTGTGGGCTCAGCAATTCCTGCGACACGCGAACATGAGGCGTCTAGCTTCACGGCGACCGCCAGATAATGAGATGCACCGGCGGAAATGTCGACGCCGACAAAGAATATTAATTCCCCATTCCATTTGCAGTTTGGCAGATACCTGTCGGCCAGGGTGGCGCCATCTCTCTGCGGTACGCCGTCACGACGGATCGCACGCGGGAGAGATAAATAGATACTTGTCACGGAGAGAAGGTCAACAGGGTTGCATCGCGATGGGTGCAATACGTCTGAGCGTGCGTTGCGGGATCGGGATTCTGCAGTCTGCACGTCACGGGGAAGGCATGCCGAGAGTAGCGATAAACAGTGCAAGCGAGACGTTCTAAGCATTCAGATTTGAAAAGAGTTACGTAGCCTCGTATGGGCATTGTTAAAACCGGCTGTCCCATGTACGAAGTTGACGAAGAATGGCTTATTGACTGAAACATTGATCTATGACCTACGTGTCGGTATTCCTATCGTGATGCGCGGGCAGAGGCTTTGTTACGTAGCTGGGACAGTGGGGAACACCGTCATCATCTCAGTGACAGTCTGTGCTGTAATCCGTCTACTTGGATCTGATTGCCGTCTCTGCCTACCTTGAGGTTGTTCACGAATGAATGCCAAATGCGAGTATGCGTTATTCTGGTCATCCGTCGTGTGATGGCAGCATGGGCTCTTTATGTAAGCACAACTGGTCCCTCAGTTGCGGTCGATCTGCTGATTTTTGTTCATCACCCAGATTTGCCAGACTTCATAATCATAAACGTGTTCACACTCGTTTCCCGTCGAACTTCGACGAAATTGGCCCTCCTTGCCGCCGCCGGGGGATACCGCAGCGCTCGAGGCCCGGCACGCACGCACATTGCCCGCTCGACCCTGAGCGCCCAGGAAATGGCGGCTCGGGGCGCACCTCGCAGCCTTGTCGGGCCGCCCGCGGACGTGCGTGAGGCGGTCACGGGCCGTAATTTGCCTCGGCTCGGGAGGACCCCGCAGCGACCGTGACCCGCCGCCGTGTACCGAGGAGGAGGCGGCGGCGGCGGCGGCGGCGGCAGCAGCGGCGGGCCAGCCGCCCGGTCACACGCGTTCTCGCAGGAAGTGTTCGGCCCGCACCGGCGTAAACATGGATTCGCAGGGCGGCTTTCACTTCCAGGTGGCGGCGTACTGTCCGCCCCCCCCCCCCCCCCCCACTCTCCGCGAACGCTCCAGATTTTCAAAACAAGAGGTCAGCGACGGCCAGCCGTTCCACCGCCCTCCATTCCCCAGCAGGAAGTAATGAAGCCCGGCTAAATTTAGCCCGGCCATTTCGGGGGCAACCTTTCCACGCTCGACCTGCGAAGGGGAGTTGAGGGAACGGGGCTACCTACGATAGGGTGCTCGCCTCCCCCGAATACCGGGAAGCACAAACAGTCGTGTTTACCGTTGATAGTCGCGGCTTCCCCCTGTGGAATTTGAGCCTTACGGGACGCGATGAAAGGGGTAGGGCGACAGGGAGCCGTACGTAGCCTGGATCGCGCTGTTTCCGCACATCCGGGACGAGCTCTCGGCAGTGACCGCTGCGGCCGCTGGCGCCCGGTCCGGCGCGGGAGACCCGCCCCGCCGCCTCCGCGACACGACCGCCAGCTGGACTCTACCGCCGGGCTCCGGCGTGCCGGCGGCACGGCGCCGGCTCCGGGGTCACCTTGAACCGGGCCGATGCGTAACAAACACGCCATGCCGTCGGCGTGCAGTGCCCCCTGCCGGCGCCGCACCCGCCAGCTGACTTACGGCGCCCGTGTGGGCGGAGGGGGATGGGGGTCGCTCACGTTCCCGCTAACCCAGCAGCTCGCCCGCACCGGCCAAATGCCACGGGCGCAGGATGTGGCGTCGCTAACCACCGTTGGGTTGCGCAATAGCACGCTTGCGGTCGGCGTGAGCGCCGAGCGGACAGACCGGAGCCGGCCACGCGGGGTGCACCGGCTGGACAGGGCTGACCGGATTAATGACGTCATCAGGGGCCAGCTCGGGGCGGGCTACGACGCTCCACGCAACGGTGAGCCGAGCGGCATTCAGCGCCATATCCACTTGCTTCGACTTTGGCTGCCCGACGCCTGGACGTGATCCGGGACCCATTCATACAATCACAACGCTATTTAGAAAGATGATGTCGTCTCTTTACCTATTTGCATTGGCGTAAGCCGAATGCACTCAGTAGGTCAAGGTACTTTGTACATGTTCATTGATAGGTATTTAATAATGAGATTTCCTTCTTAATGTCCGAGCCGGTAGGCTGGTTTGTTCTCAACCATTTTGAGCAGCATGACTTAAGATACCAGCTATGTGCCTTGAGACGATTTCAGTGAAAAGTAATCCGTACACAGGGCAGGTGGCGTACTTGAAAATCCAAGTGATTAGCTAATATCAAAAGCTGCGGGAACGCTATCGTGTAAGCCACACGGCGCGATCCGCGCTGAGCTGAAAGACCACGGTGCCGGACGGGACCGGTAAATACCGCCAGAAGACAGCTCCAGGTGTGGCGGCCGGATCCGACACAGCAGACAGGGCCGGCTAACACTCCCAGCAGGTCACCGGGACGACAGGGTCCGCACGGCGCCGCGGCGGGCCCTGGGGCGTCGCCGGCGAGACGCCCTCTCCCTAGCTGACGATGGTGTGCCTTGACCCGACCTTGCTCCACGTAATTCGCAGGGGAGCGGCGCCGCGACCGGCGCGGTCGGCGTCTGGTTACGGCCGGTCGTGCCGCCGACGGCCACCCACCGTCTCATTCGCCAGCTCCACAGCGCCAGATGCTGATTGAATTGCCTCAGAAACTGCAATCGAGCCGGCAAATAGACCCGCGGCCCATGGGCCAGGAAAACGTGCACTGCGATTGCGCCGGACAAACCGGCCCGGCCGACGCCATTTTTGGGGCCGGATCGCGCATTGCCAGTGGATTTTCCTGCCGCCGACTGTTATCGACGTCGGCGATCAAAGCTTCGTTGTGGCCGGGCCGTGCCGGTCCGGTCTCTGCAGAGCGTTGGATGAGGGCGTCAGTGGGTGCAGGGCGAGGCTACCTGCACAGCAAGTGCGGTCAACAGGACGCCGCCATAGCGGAGGTTGGCGGGCTCGGTGTGCTGCAGGACTCCCGACAATCGAGACTTTTGCCGGCCTTTTCCAAATCTGCTCTTGTGTTCGTCGACTTACCAGCAGGGGGCTTGCACATGGCGGTGGTTGGAGTTGGAAGAGATGGTGCTCTTGCGAGAAGGAAATTACCGGTTTAACACCGTCAGCTTTGATTGTCGAATGTCATGGCACGACACCTACAGCTCTTACATAACTCTAAACGGTATTGACCGATGTACTGGAGATCATTCGTGCTATGTCCTAGTTCCAGAAACACCGTCGCAACAACAGTGGGGGTCGGATTGCCTACGTTCTCCATTACATCTGTGAACTTTTCCAGCCTGCCAAACTTTGCCAATTGGACCATGGTCATGTCCTTTTTTAATGCACCGCAGTTGGTTAATGTTGGACTTTTACCAATTGTGTGCGAATTGCCGGCTGTTCCTATCTTATCACGACTCAACGATTCCTGCAAAAACAAAAGTCATGCAGCTCTCAGATGCAGAAAGTACTCCTTCAATCAATATTGGCGTTGCGAAAGGATATCAACAACGGCTATACTTGAACCATTATGTCGAAATACTGCAGAGATGCCATCGGACTTGCGAAAAGAGGTGGGGTTGCGGCTTTTCTCGACCTGGGAGCTGTAAGATAAGGAGTTAGGGACGTACGCGAGAAACCATTCTCTTTGCATGTACCCCATTGCAGTTAAGTCCGGGAATAAGCTTTATTCGGTTCGGCAAAGCTTTGCTTCATGACTTGTGGGCATTTAATTAATCCTGCAAACCATTCACTTTCTACAGGTAGAACGCTGAGCTCCTTTTCTTGACAATGCTTGCAAATTCTATTAAAACGCCGTAATCCTCTTGTCGGTTCAAGGAGATACAGTTCCGGAGCTAAATCTTCTCAACACACGAGCACGTGAACTGACCAGCTCATGACCTCCGCAAAAGAATTTACAAACCGAGTCTAGATCGTCGAGACATAAGTCATCAGACATCAGGAACAGCCATCATCAGACATCGTAATTAGCAATTTACGACAATACTTTGCCCAGTGTGTCTCCTGCCATTTCCTCGAGAAACAATCAGCTCATTAACAGATCCAACAATGAAGAACCACTCGGATGGAACATTTTTTGTTGGAACACGGAACTGTGAGGTTCCTTCTGCAGTCGGCGCTGGCCGACAACGAGCCGGCGGAAAGCGAGCGAGCGCCAGCCCGGCACCGCACGGGACGGAGACGTGACCACGACGGCCGGCCGGTGTCGCCCGGGACCGGTCACCGTACTGCACACCCCGGCCAGTGCCACCGCCACCGACCCGTGACCCCGGAGGCGATCCGTGACCGTGACCGTAGCCGTGCCCGTGACGGGATCGGCTCGGGCCGGACCGACCCGCTGCAGCTGCCACGGTATGTGCGCTGGAACACCGATCGGGAGTCCCTCAAGCGCTGCGGCTAGCGAGAGGCCGGCCCGGACTGTGT